TTGAAAAGACCCAAAAGAAGTACCAAGACTTCATCACTTCCCTCCCAAAGACCAAAGGCTGGAGACCAAAAGAGATCCTAACCCAACACAACGGACACTGGTGGCAAGAATGTCTCCTCGAAGGTCTCCTCCACGCCAAAGACCATTTCCAAGCCAGACCCACTGACTTCCTCGTCTGCAGTTACCCTAAAACCGGAACAACCTGGCTCAAAGCCCTAACGTACGCCATACTCAACCGCTCACGTTTCGACGACGCAACGAACCCTCTCCTCAAACGTAACCCTCACGAGTTTGTCCCTTACGTGGAGATAGACTTCGCGTTTTACCCGACCGTTGACGTCCTTCAAGACCGTAAGAACCCGCTTTTCTCAACCCATATCCCTAACGGGTCGTTACCCGAGTCCATAGTCAACTCCGGTTGCAAGATGGTTTACATATGGAGAGACCCTAAGGACACTTTCATCTCCATGTGGACTTTCTTACACAAGGAGAAGTCTCAAGAGGGTCAGTTAGCGAGTCTTGAAGAGTCTTTTGATATGTTCTGTAAAGGTTTGTCTGTGTACGGTCCTTATCTTGATCATGTGTTGGGTTACTGGAAGGCTTATCAGGAGAATCCTGAGAGGATTTTGTTTCTTAGGTACGAGACGATGAGAGCTAATCCTTTGCCGTTTGTGAAGAGATTGGCTGAGTTTATGGGTTATGGGTTTAGTGCTGAGGAGGAGGAGAAAGGAGTTGCTGAGAATGTTGTGAAGCTTTGTAGCTTTGAGACGTTGAAGAATCTTGAAGCTAATAAAGGAGATAAGGAGAGGGAGGATCGTCCTGCGGTTTATGCGAATAGTGCTTATTTTAGGAAAGGGAAGGTTGGAGATTGGGCTAATTATCTGACTCCTGAGATGGCTGCTCGGATCGATGGGTTGGTGGAAGAGAAGTTTAAGGATACTGGCTTGCTTCAACATGATCAGTAAAATGTGTTGTTGTTTGGTATAAAACAGAGGATGCTATGGTTTTTTTTTCTGTTTAGTTCTGTATTGTCATTATTGTTGGTAATTTGTATCATTCCTTATATATTAAAAGAGAAGCATTTTGCATTAAATGTTTTCACACCACCTTCTCACAATTTATTATCTTATTTACTACCTTTTCATAATTTATTACTTTATTTACTACATTTTCACAATATATTACCTTATTTACTTCAACAATTGTTTACCTTATTTACTTCAATTATAAAACACACGAGATACTTTAAAACTACAAATTTCAATATCGCATGAGACAAGTTCGGAGGCAAGTGAATTGGCTTGAGGGTCGATGTCAAAGTTCTGGAACGTCGTTATTAGAGCGGTGGGACGTATCTAAGATGATGGATGTGAAGGGCAACGTACCGGAGCCCATGAACGCGATCTTGGTTTGGATATGGCTCGTGTGTAGCGTGAAGAGATTGAACTCAACCTTGCTAAGTTTGAGGTAGTTAGTGTACTGAGGATAGATCTAAATGGTGAAATGTGTTGTCTTCGAGAGATCCCAAGGCCGTATATTAGTGGTGCTCTGGAAACTCTATATCTTCACTATGTAGGTTGGTGAGATTGAGTCTGTAGTTTTGGACTTTTAGGCACAAGTTTTTAACGTCGATTTTTGTATCCATAGGCAGAGCTATTGAACAAATTGTCGACATATATATGTGAAAGGTTTAAGGGCTCTTGAGATTGGAGATTTCGTTATACAAGTCGAGAATTTGCTTCTCGAAATGAGCATTTTCACAACCCATATTGAGACTAAAAGGAGATTTGGGATTGTCTCAATACTCTTAATGGTATTGACAGCAATATACTTTCATCTTACGTGTTTCCATGTCGTGTGGATGACAAAAAAAACAGATATATGAGACAAAATCGCTATTTAACCAAAAAGACAATATTTATAATATAGATATATAATTGGACGATATTAAAACTCGAAACAACCAATCCAAAACAAACTAATATGCAAATAAAACAGATATAATGTCTTCTTATCTTCAAAAAAATACAACAAATTTAATTATTTCATTCCGCACAAGGCGCGGATCTAATCCTAGTTATATTTTATAACAAGAGAAATGTCTTTGATTCTTGAGTTAATAAACATTCAGAGTTACTTTATCTCTGTGCATGCATAGAGAAGCAGCTCAAGACACATTCAGCAAAGATGGATGACTACAAAGTCAAATCCTCTCTATAGAAACAATACCTTTTGTATCAAACCAAAGCAAGATTTTTTTTTTTTTTTACTTAGCAAAACAAGAATTGTTTTTTTAATATATAAACTTATTTCTACGCTCTTGAGTCATCACTATCAGGAATCTCATGTTGTTCTTCAGTGTATCTGCACATTTTCACATCTGGTAGTATTTACTGTAAATATGATGGTTTGGTTTCACAACGTTTCAACAAACTTTTAGAAAATAAAATTAAGCAACAATATAAGAACACCCTAAATGAGGGATTTTATAACTCCCGAGTTACATATATGTATATATTAATATTAATATTTATATTTAATTGTTGGATTCTTAATTTCACGGAAAATTCAACCCAAATTTTTACTACACATAATTTATGAATTGAATTTCTCTTAAAACTAAAAATTTCATAATTAAATTTATCTATATATATATATCTATTTTTTTAATTTTTTTTTTGAGAATCCGAAAACTAAAACCCTTATTAGAAATATTCTAACATGTCCACATAACAGAACAGTATTCTTTATTAGTAGTAGTCACTTAATTAATCAACGCTCACGTTGCCATTGGGATTCGAATATCTTAGCTTTTGATTTTGTTTGGTTTTAATAAGAGACAGTTGCCCACTTAAAATTTTCTTTAGTTTGGAATCTTTACCACCCCTTAGATGAACTCAAGAATTAGGCATAAATCATGTGATCATTTCAAATTTTCAATATGTGAAAAACAGTTTTGTTTTGTTTTTAGTGGGATACTAGCATTTTTATACTATTTGTCAAATAAATGAGACCTTTGATTTAGTTTGCTAGCTTTACGTTAATGTATGAGAATATCACATTTACATTACAAGTAACTTGTTTACTTTGTTGAACGTTCAAGTGTAACAGAGAGAATGGTCCGTTTGGTTGTTGGAGATTTTAACATAGCTTCGTTAATGGTACTAAACTTAATTAGTAACGCGTGAGACAAGAAAAAAGTTACAAACATTTTTTTTAACTAAAAGTTACGAACATAGTTGCATATATATATTGGATAGTATGGTTAATCATATAAAGTGATTTTTCTTTTGAATAAGAGTTCACATGAAGTTTGATGAATGGTCATGTCGTTGTTGAATAGTATGTTTGAACAAATGTCAATAAAAGAGGACTAAAAGCTCAAGAATGTTCAATGTTCGAGACTTAGATGACTAAGACGATGTTTGTACGAAATGGGTAAGTATTAAAAGGGTAACATGTTACATGACTTGGGCGTGTTGACCAGGTTGTCATATTCAGACATGGATTGATGAATTTATGACAATGTTGATATGATAGGTGAAATACAAGATACGGGTAATCTTGACAAAGTCGAATATTGCGTCTCCTATGGACAAAATAACGTTGCTGAATCAGGCTCGGCCCTGAAAAGTTAAAAAAAACAAAGACCAGAAGTTTCCCAAAAAAAAAGGCCACAAGTGGGATTTGAACTTGTTACATATAGAAGAAACATCTACTATTTAACCATCTTAGCTATAATAACTTATGTGAAAAAATGCCGAAATTTTTATTTTATTTTAAGGGCCGGAAGCAGATATTTGTAATGCTTCTACCCAGAGCCGCTACTGACTGAATCAGTCGTGTGTGAATATAGAAGTCATGTACGTACTTCCACATGAAGTGGACCTAGGCGTAAGACATGACTACATTTCATGTGGTTTGCAAGTTTGTTTACTTCCTCTTGGGTGAGATCATGAGGTCACAGTTGAAGTCATTTTTACTTTTTACCTTTTATGTGGTGTTTTGTAATTCATTAGTTTCTCTACGAGGAAAACAACCATATCATCTCACATAACATTTTTTTTAGCATATACATTCGGATTCATTTACAATAATTAAATAAAAATGATTAAACCATTTACAATGATACCTAACAGAAAAATAATTAAATCAGTTTATATTATTTGTGTGATTTTTTTTTTTCAAATCCGACTTACTCGAACATTAAGTGGAACCGGTTAAAAAATACATAAGTGGAACGGAAAGAATCATATATAAATAAATATGTAAATAAAATATCATTAATATCACCTGCTTGCCGACGGCTAGCAGCAGTTAGCTAACTTGTCCCTCATGAGTCATGAGTCACCAGACCAGTAGTGGAATGGAACATTATGCATACTACACTAATAGATTAATAGTAATTATAGATATCTCCCAGCAAATTAAATTAACTCAAAATCTAGTGTCTGTAAATTATTTGTTATTTTGTTAATTATTTCTCCTTCAATTTCATAATAGATAACATTTTTGTTACAAAATAAATATCATTTTTAGTTTTTAATACAAAATTTATTAATCTTATTATGTAATTTATTTTTCTATTAGTTGAATATGGTATTAAGGACAAATGTCTTACATCGGAAGTTAGAAGAGACTTCTAATATATAAGACATATGAGTTAATCTACTTATCATCACTTGGTTTTATGTTGGAAGTCTATCAATCTTAATATATAGTTCTATTGGTTGAAATATGATTACATATACATATAATTGTGATTTTATATATAAAATATATAATATTAGTTGTTTCATTAATTTGTATGCATAAAGTAAAAATGACAATTATAATGAAATAGATAAATTTTATTTTTATCAGAAAATGTCTCTTCTGACTCATACATACCATACATACATAAGTTATATATCAATTTGTAGCTTCCTACAAATCGAACAACATCACAATAAGTCAGAAACCCACACAAACTTTTTGTAAAACAGCAAAATCAATTCTGAGTGATTTCAACTTGCCAAAATTTCATCATCATCATCATTATAAATGTATAATACTCTTGAATTTATGTTTACTTTATCCAAAATAATTGTCAATCCCTTTAAAGGAGACATCAACTTCACTGATAGGTGTCACATAACTATCATCAAACCCCGCCGTCTCAACTTTATCCTCTTGAAGAATCATTGTAAGTTCCCTCATGTACGAAGTATTCTCCAAACAAGATTCATCCAACATAAAGAAATCTTCATCATCATGAGATACAACATCATTCAAAAATCTTGAAGAAAATGCAGTCATGTCTTCTAAGTCATCAAAGATATGGTCGTACATCAAGGGGTCAGGGGTGTCGCTGGAGAACGTTGACGAGGACAAAGATGTTGCATCGAGGACCATGGACACTTGATCAATGAGGAGATTCGAAGAGTTTGGTGTGGAGGAAGAACTCGATGACTTCTCACATTCAGAAGCACTTGTAGTAGGAGTAGTGTGACTAGTAAATGTGCCACCACTTCTAATAATATCAGACAGAACACTATGGCTGATTCTCTTACCAAACCCGGTTGCTACTCTGTTCAAGAACCGAGCAGATAATGATCCTAACGCATTATTCTTGTTTGACTTCTGATCATCATCATCCTGATGATCAGATGATTTACCATTAAGTGATTTGTGGGTCAATGGATCGATACCTTTCTTGACTAGACGTTTCTTGATGTGAGTATTCCAGTGGTTCTTGATCTCGTTGTCTGTACGTCCTGGTAGCCTACGAGCTATCGCCGACCATCTGATCGACAGTAACATTATTTATTACCAAGTAAACAATATATTGCATGAGGGTGATGGGGTAATTGTTTTTATTTAAATTTAGTTCATCTTTACACAGACTAATTATTAAGCTCAATATTTTCAATATTTTATTTTATTTGATAACATAAATATAATATGTTTGGTTTAGGTATTTGCTTCTATAGTTTTTAACTGACGGAAATTTTGATTTGAACAAATCCAACTATAAGATGATTATCATAAACAACTATGTAGACAACATTTAAATATAAGGAATGCAAATAATGCATGTGACATTTTTTTGAGAAAGATACTGAAATGTGATATTCTATATTTAAAACTTACTTGTTTCCATGAATGGCATGGAGTTTAATGATGGAGTCTTCCTCTTCTTGGCTAAACTCACCACGCTTAATGTCAGGTCGAAGGTAATTGGCCCATCTTAGTCTGCAGCTTTTGCCACATCTTTTGAGTCCTATAATGTTGTTTATGATTGAAAACACTAAATTTAATAAAATAGTATAATACAAAGAAAAGCTGACTGAATAATTCCAAATTGGCGGAATTAAAAATAAATAAGACAAAGCATTTACAAGCTAAGCTATTATGATTAACTGTTTAATTACTGTAATTTTAAATTATTTACTTTTATATTAATTCATTTTGTTGATCAAATATAAGTTTGGAGTTTTTACAATAAAAATATATACCAGCTTTGTCGGGAAGGGTTCGCCAACCTCCTTCACCGTGACGTTGGATGTAGGTAATGAGCTTATGGTCTTCTTCTTGAGTCCATGCTCCTTTCTTCAACCCTTCTGCTCTGCAACACGGTGTCCGTACCATTCTTGATTCTTGATTGTAACAATTAAAGCTAGAGAAAGAGAGACTTCGTGTTGTGGTCTTGTGATGGATCATATGAAGGTAGGACTTGATCTTTTTACCAGAACAGGCATCGATAGATACGTCTTATCGACAACATGTTGTTGCTAGAGACTCTAATTTTTTTTCTTTTCATATATATATTTTGATATATCTTTCTCAAAAACTGATCTATTTTCGTATTTTGAGATGAAAAACCATAGAAAGTGAGAGAGCTGTGTTTGTTTTCACTTGGCTGACTAAGGCAAGTGAGAAATTTGAGGAAGGAGCGGATAGCTTTATATTTTATGCGTGCGTGGCTTCTGTGCAGCCGACGGCGTCGTTTTTCGGTGTTTGCCACGTCTATATAAATTTCTTCTGATTATAAATAGTTCTTTTTATTAAAGTGTAGACTAATAAAAAACCTGAGATGGAGGTTCTTGTACGTATTCTCATTTTACTAGCTAGCCCAATTTGTTTTTCTGTCTTTTTACGATTTCTTATTACGAGTTTACGCCCTTTCCGAAGTAGTAACTACAGTGTCCATATGAGCTAATACTTTATGTTTTCCTGCCAATAAACTTTAAATAAAGGGAGTTGGTATTTTCTAGTAGACTGGAACAAAGCTCGAACCCTCATTGGCCTATATCAAATCGGGATATCCAATATATGTACCTTCTATATGTCACAACTCGCATATATAATATTTTTCTATACATGGTTTGTGGGAATATAGATTTGCATGTGGCTGCTGCATACTCCACCATTTTTGCAGGGTTCTGGTTTATATGTCAAATTAGATGGATTTACAATACAAAATTCATATATAGATTTGTTCAAAATTTTAATATACTACTTAATTAAACTTTTTCTGGTGTGAATTTTTTTTAGACACCCTATTAAACTTTTGATATTTCGAGATACTATTCCTTTTTACTTACTTCAATAGAAATAAATATTTTTGAACCATTAATTAGTGGGATGATTATACCACTTTTCGAATTAAATTAATGAAATAAATTATATCAGTTCTGATGCTATGTTAAATTTTATAAATTTTTAAGCTAAAACCAATAGACAATAGTGAACTTGTCCAGGTCCCTTTTATATTATCTAAATCCTTTTTATCTTTTTAAAAATTGTATTTATTTTTCCTAGTTCAATTGTGCATCCTTGATCAAAGTTGAAATTCCCTGTTTTTAAGAAATGAGTTGAAACACTTGTCAAAACAGATTCAAAACATAATAATATAAATATTTTTTTTGTAACCTGATATGGTCTTAGGTTGGCTGTCTTAACCAAGAATCATTTGAAAGTAGGTTGGACGAAATCGTTGAGGTTGTGGCACCTCTTAGGTGTGATAGGCTTCACACAAAGGCTGTGGAAAACCTTAATTGTATTGTTCAATCTCAAACATCTATGAATGTAACTTTGTTTACTAGTCTTGATGATGATCTAGCTCGTTCATGCATTGGTTGCAAACTCAAGCTCTTGAGTTTGAAGCTATTTTAGATCATATCAAAACCAATATTTATTTGACTTAAAACTAAGTTTAAGAAATTTATTATCATTTCTCCTATCCATATAAATGGAACATGTTTGGTAAAATCTTATACATATAAAATGGGTTTGAAAAATAGTAATATAATATTTCTAATAAGCTAATGCTATTATCTTTAATAAAAAAAAACTATTTTGACCTGAAAATAATATAAAATCTAGTTTATGTATATATACTCCAACAACGGAAAAACTATTATGATTTTGTAAAGAGATTGTATAAGTTTCTACGTTCATTCATTTTTAAAAATTCTGTGTGAATGGTAAGAAGTTCAATCATAATTGAAACTAGATCATAACCCGTCCGACTGGGCGGGTATTTGTTTTTATGGTATATATAAACATTTCAAAAATTACAATCTAATGGTTTCAATTTGACTAAGTAATAGTTCATTATTTAAACATTGTATTTCATCACTGTATTGTGTAACAGGGGCGTCGCAAAATATTGTGACCCGTAAACATTTTATTAATAGTTTATAATTTTTTTTTTGTTAAATTTGGTGCAAAGTTATATACATTAAACAATTTATTCAAATTTTAAGTTAATTTTTTAATGAAGAATTGAAAGGCTAGTATATCACTGTTAAAAATTTATAACAATAATCAATATAAATTATATAAATAAAATATATATTATTCTTGATTTATTTTAAATACATTTAAAACATGAATACATATATGTATAAATAATTTTCAGAAATAAAATAATATCAATGATAGAAACTCAAAAACAATAATAATGATACTTTGGGCCGCAGTAATCTTTAGTTTAATAAATAAGCCCATTAGATTTGTAGGCTATCCTTGTGTTCCAATCATTATAATTTTAAATACCTATTCATGTTTCCAAACACTATTTTTTTGTACTTCAGCTTTAATAGTATAGATAGATGTCAGAGTATGCCCATTAGGGGTTTTTAAGAGGGGTTCACACGTTTTCCGAAGAGAAAAGTGGTGAATCCGGCGCGCGTGGGTTCGTCGTTGTGAACCCGGATCGTCACGGATTCGCCACGTGGCGGGCCATAATTCGCCGAATTTTTTTTTTTTTTGAAAAAGTTAAAAAAAAAACAATTAAAAACGTGCCTAGGAATTCGTGCCTACCCAGTATCACTGATGGGCATGCTCTCATGTAACTGACAAAAGTTTCTTACAAAAGATAAAGTCATTTTATTCAACATTTAAACTCCAATACTATAACAAAATTTCAAAATAAGACAGCAGTCGAGCAAATGATCCAATTAAACATCGAAGTTAGTAGGGGTGGGTACAAGCCAAGTACTTGCCATTTTTGGCTTACTTGGTACTTGGCTTGGCTTGTTCGAGTAATAAAATTTTGGGCTTGTACTTGATTTATTAAAAACAAATACTTGCACTTTCAAGTACTTGCTAAAAAATGGTATACTTGAAAGTACTTGCTCCGTTTTATTACTTGTTGCATCTCAACTAATTTATAAATGATTATATAATTATTTAATAAAAGTTTGTTAACCTTTGCTACTTAGATCTTGTATATGAATTTAAAAACATTTAGTTAGTTATAATTATAATCTAAACAACTTTTAATAAATAATATCTATTTACTTTTCATATGTTTATAAATTGATATTTGACAAATATAAAATTAAAAGAAAACTTTAAATATTTCTATAATATATCACTTTTAATTTATTTGTTTTATAAACAAGTAATTTTGATTATAATTTAGAGATTTGTTTGTCTAAAAATAAAAAACGGGTAATAAATAAATCACGAGTAACAAGCCAACAACGCCAAGTAGTTATTTTTATTTTAGTACTTGGTATTTGTTTTGTACTTGCAAGTAATTGAAACAAACGACTTGATACTCGACTTGGACAAAACGAGTACTCGACTTTAAGAGCCAAGTACAAATTAAGTAGCGAATACAAGCCGAGTAACAAGTAATTGTGCCCACCCCTAGAAGTTAGTGATGATAGAGAATAATACAGTAAATATAGTACAATTAGTAATCTATCGAAATGAATAGTCAGCACATTAAATGTATATAGTACTCTACTGACATATTTTCTTCTAGTTGAATATTCTCATCAGCCTTTAGATACTTTCCAGACAAATAAATATCCACTAGTTGTGCTTAAAGTTTAGGTCCAACGTCATAGCTCACCACGGCCTCATGATTCGTGGAAAAATAGAAACTTACCTCGAGATATGCAGAGCAAAAAAGCCAAACTAGTACGTGTACAATGTCCCTTGTCACGATGAAATCAATTGTAAAAGATGGAGTGCGTGAGACTTTTCTACCACTGACCGAATTGAGAATCAGAATATTAAAAAAAATTAGGAAACGGTTTAAGAAAATAGTTGGCGGTCTCGTTTGGTTATGCAAATATTGAAAATTCGAGGAAAGTGGTAATCTGCTTATAAGTGGACGTTGCTGCAATTTTATAGAAACTACTAACCTACAATATGGTCCTTAAAACACTGGACCTGGACAACAACATATAATTAAATCAATATTGATGCGACGCAACCCACAAATGAAATCATAAAATATAACTTTTTCTTCTTTAATTTTTTTTTCCACATTCTTATGTAGAGTGTAGACTAAGAAATCATATAAACTTTGCTCAAGGAAGAACTTTTAAGGAGTCTCTTTTGGCGGTGCAGTCATCATGCATGTGACGTCACAAAAGGCCTAAACCACCAAAGTCTGATAACAAACAGTTCCCTCACCTGACCGCCATTGTCAAGTACTGTCTGTAGTAGACTCGCGTACTTGGTTGACCATGGTTTAGTGCTTGGGCTTCGGCTTTAATCTGAACTTTAAATGGGCCTTTAATTTGTGTTTGGGCTTTCATTGGGTTTCGATTTTAAAAGAATGGAAGTAGCAGAGGAATGTGTGACTATTGATGATGATGTCACATATATAGATGGCTCATGTTCAATTTCTTATCCACAAAAAATCTCTAAACTATCTTTGTTCCCTACACCAAAGCCATTAATTAACACACACACTTATCAAGTAAAGAAAGTGAAGACAATGATGCTACCCAATGCAAAACTCTCGACCACAACCTCAAAACTTCTCCCACCGCATGTAGAGCCACCTCAGATCAGCCGGAGACTCGCCGCAGGAGCCTCTCCGTCGCTGGAACTGAGCTGTAAATTATCACGCCGGAATCTAAGTAAATCTTCTTTGCTTCTACTCCTCGGTACTCAAACTACTCTGACGCCATTTCTCAATCTCTCTAAAGCTCAAGCAGACACAATCTCTCCAGAAACCGACATTACAACAACTAGTAGAGACAGAGTAAGTAAGGTTCCGACAAAGAATGTCTTAAATTCGATTTATTTTGCAAGGTTCCGACAAAGAAACCGACATTCAGTTTTATGTCTGAATCTTTAGATAATGTCTTAAATTCGATTTATTTTGTAAGGTTCCGACAAAGAAAGCGTTCATAGACGTATCCATCGGCGGAGAACCTGCCGGACGGATCATCATCGGTTTATACGGCGACGATGTACCGGCGGGGACAGCAAGATTCAGCAGCATTGTAAGCGGGAGAGCCGGAATCAGTTACCGGAGAAAAGAGTTCGTTAAGATCATGCCAGGCTACGTCCAGCACGGCGGGATAAGGTCGTACGGCGCCGACGCAGAGAGAGCCACCGCGGCGGCTGGGAGTCTTCAGAGTCTTGTGGAAGAGTGGGAGAGAGGGAAGAGAGGAGAGAGATGTAAAGAAGTGAAGGCGGGAAGCGTTGGGATCGTGGTGAGGGATCCGTTGAAGCCGCCGCCGAAGACGAAGCTGGTGGCGACTAACGGGAAGCTGGAGGTGCAGGAGGAGGAAGTAGCTGTGGGGCCTAACGGAACGGAGTTTGTTATAACGGCGGTGGATACGCCGGAGCTGGAGGAGTCGGTGTTGGTGATTGGGGAAGTGTTGGAAGGGATGGGAGTTGTGGAGAAGATGAGGGAAGTTAAGACAGTGAGGGATAATACAAGTTCTCCTTACTTCAAGTAAGAGTTTAATATTGACCGTTGGATTTTAAATTTTTTAGATTAATGGTTGTTGTTGTGGTGGTGACACAGGGTGGCTAAGGTGATTGGAGATAAGAGAGCCGTGGTGGCTGAGAGAGGGTTTAATCGGCCTTATACAAAGGTTCAAATCACTAATTGTGGTCTCATTGAGTCACAAGAATCTCAATAGTCTCATGCACTTTGGTCAAATCCTTCTTTACTGTGAACTTTTTTGTGGTATTGGGAGCTTGAGATGTACTAAATAAATGTATGTTTTGGTATATCTTCTCCACTGATTATTTTATATTGATTAACTTCATAATTTACCTCAAAGAAAAATATATGGAAATTTTTTTTTTAATGTTGGATAATATGCAATTACAAACTACGAAAAATATTATAGACAATTCAAAGTTGATAATTCTATTTGTTTTATATAGAATCAAATCTAACTACACCATCAAAACCGTTCTATGAGATCTACGTTTGACAGTAGTCCTTGCGCCTCTACATTTAACATTGGATAGACCTCATATAGTTATTTTATTTTTGCTTTTTTCATCTGTATATGGTATATATCCATAACCAGTGGCGGAGCCAGCTAAGGAGCATGTGGGTCATTTGACCCATATCAATTTTAAGAATTAATCAAATTTAGACTTAAATTTGTTATATATCTTGATTATTTGGTTGAGTTTCACTAGTTTGACCCCCTCAATATCTAGCCAACTTCATATATATAAACTTTTGACCCCAGTGCTTTCTTTTCCTAGCTCCACCAGTGTCCATAACATAACATGGATGTAATGTAACACTAGCATAATCACTAGTCTTTTTTGTTACTATGGGAATATGATAGCACTGGAGTTTGAAGACTTCTTCGTTATTGAACAAGATGTGAAAAAAATTATAACTCAGAAGCTTGTATCAAAAAATAAGTGGTAAGACAAATTTTGTCTACAAATCAAATTTATATGCGTAGTAAAATCACAAGAAATCAAATAAAAAAGTAAGCTCATAATGACTAGTTTCACATCTAAAGCCCAACAACACTATAAAAGCCCAATAATGGCCCACCTCACTCTAGGGTTTCCCACTTTCAACATCTCTCCATTTCCCTTATATTTTCCACAGCCGGAAAAACTTATCATCTCCTTCTACGATCAGCGCCAAGAGGAAGAGCAACGATGCCGGCAAAACAGAGGACGCCGAAGGTCAGCAGAAATCCTGATCTCATCAGGGGAGTTGGCAAATACTCAAGGTCTCAGATGTACCACAAGAGAGGTCTTTGGGCTATCAAAGCCAAAAACGGCGGCGTTTTCCCTCGCCACGACGCTAAGTCAAAGGTTGTTGCTGTAGCTGAGAAGCCACCAAAGTTCTATCCTGCTGAAGATGTTAAGAAACCTCTCGCTAACAGACGCAAGGCAAATCCGACCAAGCTCAGGTACGTTTTTATTACACACTGCCACGTGGTCTTAGATAGAAACTTAGTTTTCGATGTAACTGTCTTTTTATGTGTTTGTTTGATTAGTTAGTGAAGTTAAGTTAAAAGTCCGACATGTTGTGTTTGGTTGCTTAGTTAGTGAAGTTAAGTTAAAAGTCCGACATGTTGTGTTTGGTTGCTTAGTTAGTGAAGTTAAGTTAAAAGTCCGACATGTTGTGTTTGGTTGATTAGTTAGTTGAGTTAAGTTTAATTCCGACATGTTTTGTATGGTTTTTTAGTTACTTGAGTTAGTTAAAGTACGACGTGTACTTAACTTCTGTTGAGAGATTGTCTGGTTTAGTTGAACTTTATTATTAGATGGGTTTTGTCTGATTAATCTTTGTTCTATCTTGATGGCAAGAGAATGAGATGTCTTTATATCTGCATTGCAGATCCAGCATCACCCCAGGGACAGTGTTGATCATCCTTGCTGGTAGGTTCAAGGGCAAGAGAGTTGTCTTCTTAAAGCAGCTTACTTCCGGCTTGCTTCTTGTGTCTGGTGAGTTTTTTTTTTTAGTACTATTTATCCATTTAAATGAATCACTAGTTTTGTGACATGACTTGTTTCCTGTGTTTGTAGGACCGTTCAAGATCAATGGTGTACCTTTGAGACGTGTTAACCAGTCTTACGTGATTGGTACTTCCACAAAGGTTGATGTTTCTGGTGTTAGCCTTGAGAAATTTGATGATAAGTATTTTGGAAAGGTGGCTGAGAAGAAGAATAAGAAGGGAGAAGGAGAGTTCTTTGAGGCAGATAAAGAGGTAATAATCCTTTTTGGGAGATAGATAACAACTACTTTGATGAAAGATATACTCATCTTTTCTTTCACAGGAGAAGAAGGTGTTTCCACAAGGGAAGAAAGATGACCAGAAAGCTGTGGATGGAGCTTTGATTAAAGCCATTGAGGCAGTTCCAGAGTTGAAGACTTACCTTGGCGCAAGGTTTTCACTGAAACAGGGAATGAAGCCACATGAGCTTGTTTTCTAGAGTATTGTTACCCCTCATGTTTTACTCTCTAAACGTTTGGTTTTGTTCTTGGTTCACCTACCGACATAAATTTTTGGCGTTATTACATTTTATATGTTATGGTTTTACATTTGGTATAAACAATCTATCTTTGTTAATTTGAACGTTGAATCTATATTTTCTATAGATAGTAATGTTGTTGAAAACTCAATGAAGCTTCTAATAATCTGAGATGAGATAGTCGTTTGCTGCAATGTACTATAGACACTTGTCGACAAAGGCATTTTTTCAGATTAGGCAGTTAACCGGGATAAACCGGACTTTACCATAATCTTTTAATGTGTGGCTCGGAGCTTTTGACAATTCTCATGACCGGAGAGGAGTCGTGAGCGAGTTCTACTCTTGTTCTCTTTATACTTTCAGCATTTAAACAGATAAAGCTGACTATAACACGTAATGGACCTAATGGGGAAAACAACTCACGTGTAAGTTGTCGTCCGTGTTCAACTTTGATTTGCATCTTGTAAATTTGTAATCAACACATTCTCCATCAACAGACAACCGCGATAAGCCCCATAGGCCATAAGCATAACTAATGACTACGTATCAACTTTTTTATACAGTATATTTCTTTTTGTCAACAACTTTTCAATATACGCAAGCTATTTGAATTTGATGTTTTCCCTGAGAAAATTCAGATCAATTGATTTCAAGTAAGATCAATAACCCATGATTCATAGAGTTTGTTAGTTTAATGTCATAACTTAAACATTGACTTTAGACGCCCAAAACAAAACAATGGGCTGTCTTGTTCGTGTATTTCTTAAATTCTAAAATCTAATAAAGTTTAGCTGGCTACGTATCAAATTTTAAATTTGTGTACTGAGAAAAGTGAGAATGCCAACACATAATTTATTCTGTAATATCTGCTACTATAGAAGTATTATTATTGTTGGTATCTCAGCCAACATCTAAAAATTAAAATAATAAAAACACAAGAAAGAAGGAAAAAATATGAAAATGTTTCTCATTTGAGAACCTCTAAAAATATTTAAGAACTTCCATAGATATGTGTTCTTTCTAATTGGTTCAGTTTTATTAACAATAAAATTATATTAGTATTCTATATATATATAATATCTTAAAGAGAATTTTTACTGATAATAATATTGCTTTGAGCTGATCATTGTGATAAACTGGTTCAAAATTGTCAGCCCCACTCTGTTCTAGAAAAACCTACAAAAACGAAAACTGGCTACCAAATCTTAGGTGGCCAATTTATTTTGGCTCTCTCTAATTTGATATCAACTACTAATATGTATCATCATTATCGTTATATTGTTGGAAAATATATCGTGAGGTCCGTATCACTCAGATAAGCCTTCTTGATTGTTCTGTTTTGTGCATTCAACAAAATTTTACACTCCACAATAATTAGTTTCGGTCGACAATTACAGGTTACAAGTTACAACGGACATACCGATCTAGATATATTAGCACATAACTTAATATCGGAGACTGGGAATTGAAGAAGCCAAAGGATTTGCTAGGAAGTCGTGTTTGTATCAAATAATAGCTGTCAAACGTAAACACACACAGTAAAATGTAGATAAATATCATTAACTACGATTACTTAAAGCCCTTTCCAAAAATTTACCAAACAATCTGGAATATGCTTTGAAAAATATGCATACACACCGTCATCATATATACAACTACTATTGTGCATCTTTAACCATAATACGCACCCACCCTGATTCATACCTTATGCAGCAATGTACTTGGATTACAACAATTTGATTTTTTTCACACTCCTAGAAAATGTGTCTCCATTTTAAACAGAAATATATAAATATTAAATAAAAAAGAAAATAAAACCTATAAATAGACGTACATACATCTTACATAACCTCATATTAGAGAAACAGAACAAATCCTAAAGAAACGAAATGATGTCATTTTTCTCCATAATTTCTCTTCCGATTCTTCTCCTCTCTCTCTCGTCGGCGGTTATCTCGAATGGAGAGTCTTTCCAGAAACTTCCGGTGCCGGAAAATAGGTCAGGCCCTGAAGCTTTCGCCTTTGACTCCACCGGAAAAGGGTTCTACACCGGAGTCTCTGGTGGTAAAATACTCAAGTATACTCCTGAGACGGGTTATGTCGATTTTGCACAGATCACAGAATCATCGTAAGTTTTTTTCATCTTTGATCTCAAAGATCACCTTCTCATAGTACTTTTTTATCACAATATATGCTTCGGGTTTGGTTGAAATTGGAATCACTTTGGCGATTACTAGTGATATATTTAGATTGTTAATTAAAAGTACTCTAAATTTTTCAAAGAGATAATCATAGTCGGACTTGAATCCGTGGTTTTGGAATAGTTGATTTAGACCATGATCAAGTATATATTTTTGGGGATTATAAATAGTATAGATAAATACGTAGACTTCTAAACGATGACAACTTCAACTGCATATAATAGTCATGCTACATGTGATGCGAATGTAAGGCTAGATCTCAGATTTTAGTATACAAATATTTAATAAGAATTTTAACAATATTTAACCATTTAAGTACCTATGTCATATATATATATATATATTATTCTTCAAAACATTCTTAGGACAATACCAATATTTTATTAGAGTGCATATCACAAAAAATGGAGTTAGTGAACAATTAAGAACTTTATATTCATGGGATGAGTGGACGAGACGCAACCATAAAGTTCTTTCCTCTCCCTAGTGCTTATCGACGACCAGGCGCACACATGCCTTTACGTGAAAAAGTCAAAACCAAAAGTCTAAAACATACACACGCAAACAACCACTATAGATACGTTTCATACTAACGTAATTTATGTATTTTAATTTCCTTTTTGTTTTGGATTGTTATTTACATATTCAGGAACTCGTCATGGTGTGATGGAGTCACTGGGACGGCTTTAGCCGGAAGATGCGGTCGACCTGCAGGGATAGCTTTCAATGAGAAGACAGGTGATCTCTACGTCGCCGATGCTCCGTTGGGTCTTCATGTTGTTTCTCCCGCAGGTGGCTTGGCTGTAAAAATCGCCGACAGTGTTGATGGAAAGCCCTTTACATTTCTCGATGGTCTTGACGTTGATCCAACTACTGGTGTCGTCTACTTCACCTCCTTCAGCTCACGCTACTCCCCAATGTAAATTGTTTTGCTCTCTTCATCATAACTTTATTTACAAAAACATGACTATGGCAAAATGATTTTTTTTTTATATCTTTGATTTTATTCTTTAAGAGATATAAAATGTTTTTACTACCTCCGTTCCATAATATAAAATGTTTTACATAAAGCACAAGAATTAAGAAACTTAATTTTTAGAAAATAATATTACTAATTAAATAAATTTAAAATGTGATAACTAATCATAAATGATGGAGTATAATATTACTAATCAACTAATTCTCAATAAAATTAAAATACCTTAAAAATCAAAATATCTTATATTTGGGAACAACAAATCTATTTCAAAACATCTTATTTTATTGAACAGAGGTAGTATTTAGCTATTCCAAAATATTTAAATGATAGCACTAACTGCGTTCCTCCCTCCCGGGGCCGATCGGATCAGCCGATAGGGTTTATCAAAAACAAAGAATTAAATGATTTGATTTTGTTGATAATCGGTGTTTTGGAAAGAAGTTAACTGTCTTAGAAAAAAATAAACAATTTACCTGTAACTGAATTGGTAGAAGTAAGTATGTAACGAAATATTTTTTTTTTCAGTTTCGGATTGGATTAGTTGTTATTAAACATATGTATTTTTGGTTATGTATGTAGCCAAGTGTTGATTGCATTGGGATTAAAGGACGCGACAGGAAAACTCTTCAAATACGACCCATCAACAAAGGTCGTGACCGTATTGATGGAAGGTCTAAGTGGCTCAGCTGGCTGTGCCGTGAGCTCAGATGGGTCATTCGTGCTAGTTAGTCAGTTCACAAGGAGTAACATCAAAAGGTATTGGATCAAAGGACCTAAAGCTGGTTCATCTGAAGACTTCACAAACTCGGTCTCGAACCCTGACAATATCAAGAGGATTGGTTCTACTGGAAACTTTTGGGTGGCTTCGGTCGTGAACAAGTTTGTCGTGCCTACGAACCCATCAGCAGTCAAAGTCAACTCTAATGGTGAAGTGCTTCAGACTATTCCTCTAAGAGATCAATTTGGGGACACTTTGCTTAGCGAAGTTAACGAGTTCGATGGTAGTTTATATATTGGGACTCTCACTGGTCCTTTTGCTGGTATTCTTAAGCTTTAAATTTGTTTAGACCTCCGATGTGAGGCCGCCTGTGTTTACCATATATGTGAAGTTTGTATTTATAACTGAATGTTGAAAGGTCACAACTATGTGTGGCCTGTTTGTATTTATATTTAAAATAATATGTTTTTATTCTTTCAAATTCAGCCTAACAGTTTTATTTTTTAAATAAGAAAAAACTTATATCGGTCATGTTTCACTTAATTATTATAGTTTGCAAAGATGCTTGTTTTTTCCTTCTTTAAATATTAACTTATTAGAAGTTGATAAATTTTAAATAACACATTGACATTATTAGGTTACAATTAATAAGTAAAAAGGAAATTGACTGTTCGCAGCTTCTACGATTCATTCCAATTAGCTCTTAGAGCATGTACATTAAGAGTACGCTAGAGTTCATACACTTTCCAAGACAAAAAAAAAATATTAAAATACTCTCAATCATATGAACCATTCTCTCGTAAAGCTCTCTCGCTGAACTTTTGAGCCATGAGTTTTTCATTGTTTAGTGGGTCTCACAATACTTGGCGACCCACGATTGGTTCGATTATTATTATTCCCTCCGTTTCATTTTAATTATCATTCTAAGTTTTTACACACAGATTAAGGAAACATTTAATTTTACATATTTCCAATATAAAAACACAAGTACCTATACACCTAATCACTTTTCAACCAATAGAAAAATAGAATATCATATAAAACTAATAAATTTTACATCGAAACTCTAAAACGACATTTATTTTGAAACAAATTTTTTTCTCTAGAATGAAAATTATTTTGAAACGAAGGGGGTATTTGTTTTATAAAAAAAAAAATCAAACAGAAAAAAAAAACTAAAAACTTGAACCCGAAAAAGGGTTCACTAATGTACATGCTCTTACATTTCCCGGTAAAACAAATATTATTTGGGCATATTTGTTGCTTAATTTATATTCAGCTAATTTTTTTTTTTTGAGCCTGATTTGTTACTCCATAAATACTAAACAATATTTAGCCTTTAATGTGGAGTGCATGTATTTGACTTCTATTATCCATAAAATCTGACAAATCCTCCCAGAAAAAGAAATGTAGTAGTATATCTTATCTATTTTCAAATATGGTAACAATAAATGTTTTCTATTTTGTTGCTCAACAAGCAATAAAAAGAAATCTCTATTTTCTTATTTTTAAATCAAATCTGTATATAAATATACGTACATAAACAGATTCTTGCACTAACAATAGTTTCCACATATTTTGATATTGAAAACACAACTAAAGAATACAGAATGGCGTCGTATGTCTTCGTGATTTCTCTTCTTCTTCTCTCTCATTTGTCAGCTGTTATCTCCGATGACGCGTCTTTCCAGAAACTTCCGGTGCCGGGAAAGAGGTCAGGCCCTGAATCTTTTGCCTTTGATTCCACCGGCCGAAAAGCTTTCTACACCGGAGTCTCCGGTGGTAAAATCCTCAAGTATACTCCTGACAAAGGTTTTGTTGATTTTGCCCAAATCACTAAGTCTTCGTAAGTTTCTCATTCTCAATTAGTTTCTTAATTTGGATTTTCAAGATCACATGTTTTGATGATTATGCGTATTATTCAAGAAACATGAAATATAAGGGGTTGTCACTTAAATCTCAATTGTAATATGAAGACATGTCTTTGAATTGTTAATGCTCTATTTTCCTTTAAAAGATACAAAATATGTTTATGGATTATGGTTGCATGCAACACCATGTAGTTCTTAAAATAACGTTATACATATTAAAACCTTTCTAATTGTAAATTATAATTGGTTTGGTTTCTATAGAACTTCTTCATGGTGCAAAGGAGTATTTGGAACCGCAATGGCCAAGAAATGTGGCAGACCTGCCGGGATAGCCTTCAACCCAAAGACAAGTGAACTTTACGTCGCTGATGCTCCATTGGGTCTTCACGTTATCCCTCCCGCCGGAGGATTGGCCACAAAGATCGCCGACAGTGTTGACGGAAAGCCCTTCAAGTTCCTCGACGGTCTTGACGTTGATCCCACCACCGGCGTCGTCTACTTTACTTCTTTCAGCTCAAAGTTCAGCCCCAGGTATATCATATTCGATCTTGTATATAGTTTCTATCTCTATTATAACTCAGACATGCACGTAAATTCATGACTATAATCTTAGCATGATAATGGCACTAATACAAGTTCCCATATTATGCTAATACAAGCTCCTATATGCTACAAGTTTCTATTTTCCATTTATATCTTTAATATTTTATCATATTTTTTTTGTTTATACTCCCTCCGTTTCCGATTATATATCGTTGTAGAGAAATTTTTTCATTTGAAAATAAATGTCGTTTTATGTTAAGTTTATAGTTAATTGTGTTTTTTTTTTAAATTTTGAAAATATGTAAGATTGAATGTTTCCTTAATCTGTGTGCAAAAAACTAAAACGACAAATAAAATAAAACGGAGGGAGTATTGTTTTGAATTTTAGGTATTTGTAAGAAAATTAAATTGGTTTAGTTAATATTGTATATTTGTACTAAATGTTGTTGGTTATGCAATGCAGCGAAGTGTTTATAGCAGTGGGAGTAAAAGATGCGAGCGGAAAGCTCTTCAAATACGACCCAGCGACTAAAGCAGTAACTGTGTTAATGGAAGGTCTAAGTGGTGCGGCTGGTTGCGCCGTGAGCTCAGATGGTTCATTCGTGCTGGTTAGCGAGTTTATAAAGAGTAACATCAAGAGATATTGGATTAAAGGACCAAAAGCTGGTTCTATTGATGACATCTTCTCAAGTGTTGTCTCGAACCCTGACAACATCAGGAGGATTGGTTCTACTGGAAACTTTTGGGTCGCTTCCGTCATTAACAAGGTGGTAGTTCCCACGGACCCTTCAGCTGTCAAAATCGATTCTGATGGAAAAGTGCTTCAGACAATTTTTCTCAAGAAAGAGTTTGGGAATACTTTGCTCAGTGAAGCCAATGAGGTCGATGGTAAACTGTATATTGGAACTCTTACTGGACCTTTTGCCGGAGTTATGAAACTTTAGTTTGGTTTTAAAACTATCGTTGTTAGGTGTCTACCCACTCTCGTGATCATATTGAGAAGTGTCTTTGTGATTGTTAATCTAAAAAGAATATGATAGTAATACATTTCAAAAAATTTCAACAAGTTTTTATAAATTTCATTCTTTTTCAGTTTTTCCTGGTTTGTTTACTTGTATTTGAGGAGGGATACGTTTTCTTATAGTTGTCTTATATAATAGGAGACTAATGGCATTCCTAGTTACATATCTAACGGTTGATAAAAAAACACACCTAAAGTATATAGCAAAAGCATTTTCCAAACATGAAAACATAAGAACTTAATAAATATAAAATTTCAATTAAAGTTACATATTTTTTTTAGTGAATAAATTTAACCTTCATTATAAAACAGTGATAATATGCTTTTAAAACTGGATAGTGGTAAACCATTCTCGTCGCCTATATAAATTTTTTAAAATTGCTTATAAGACAATTTTCATCAATTTATTCTAGTTCAGGTTGAATGGAAACTCCGGTCAACGTTTGTTTCTGTTTCGGAAACGTTTTGGAATCGGAATCTCTTGAAATTTGAGGAAATTTTTTGAAAACATGTTTCTTGAAAATCTCATTTTGGAAACACGATGAAAACTTACGCTTCTATCCGAAAACTCACGATGATAATTGGAAACGCGAAAGAAAAGCTATTTGTCATTTGATGTTAATGATTTCATGTTTATTAACTTATATTTTAATATTAACCTTTGATATTTGTTATCATTTTGGAATAATGATTTGATCTGAAATTCGGCTCTATATTCTTATAGTTTTTATTGAATGATAACATCTACTAGTTTTCTAAATACTGATTAGAATTTTTATTAAATGTACAAAGAAGAATAACATTTATATTATTTAATTTTCTCTCTTAGATAAATTAACAAAAAACATTAAGCTCATATGTAAATTAATATATATATATATATATATATATATATATATATATATTATAGACGCTTTAAAAAATTTCTATTTCTATTTCTTTTTTGAAAATCACGTTTTAATATTTCGAAACCTTTCGTATTTACGTATCCGTTTCCGATTCCATGAAACCTAGATTCTAATCAATCTTGAGATTTTATCACAAATAAGACATATTTTTTTCTTTATATTCAATTAGTTCTAATCTTAATAAAAGGAATATCCATCTCTATAAATCCCTTCATACAAAGGAACATATCTTAATAAAAGGAAGTATTGACCCCCAAAAAAAGAACAAATCTTAATAGAAGGAAGTTTTGACCCAATAAAAAGAACAAATCTGAATAAAAGGAAGTTTTGACCTGAAAATCTTAATAAAAGGAAGTTAAATTTTTGTCAAACTAAAAAAGTCAAAGTAAGTTAATGAAATTACAAGAATCAGATCTATAAATATACACACTACAAAGCTTCATCCGGTAAAAAGAAACACGACCAATAAAAGTTATGACGTCCTCTGTCTCCATGATTTCTCTTCTTCTCTCTCTTTCTTTAGCCATTTTCTCAGACGCTGCATCCTTCCAAAAGCTTCCGTTGCCAGGAAAGAGGTCAGGCCCTGAAGCGTTCGCCTTTGATTCCACAGGAAAAGGTTTCTACACCGGAGTCTCTGGCGGTAAAATCTTACAATATCTACCGGGAAAGGGTTACGTCGATTTTGGCTATGTCACGGTATCCTCGTAAGTTTTTGTTAATTATTTTAGTATATTAAAGTGGATCATAACGTTATTACAACATGGCTCGTTTCTATTATAAAGTAACATAGAAAAACCTAGACAAACAAATACAAATTGACATCAGAATTCTTGTCAAGTAATTTTCTGACATACAATTTTTATGCAAAGTAAATCCCATAAGAAAGCTATATTTTCGTCTCACATGCAAACAACGAATTAAGGATAATTGGAAATTATATTTGAAACGAGATAGTTGGCATTGACAAAACTTCGTTATTAATATACGAATATCTCTATGAACTTCATAGCCAGAGCATGTTATAATTTTATCAACGTACTTTCTTCGGGAGAGGGCAACTGCAGTCTGCAGCAACCTACTTTTTAATCCAACTATTTCCTTCAAAACCTCTGGATAATAAATGGAGTCATGTTTGGTAAAATATTTCTTAACATTGTCTTCGTTGAGTCTAATGAAGTGTTTTCATATTCTCTATGTTTCTAGATAATTGTCATTCTAGCATTTTTTTTTCTTGTTTCAAAATAAGTATCACTTTATATTTCTAATATAATTTTTTATACATAATATTTTTCTTATCCTTTTAATTAACCAATAGATGCTATTTTTAAAATTATTTTACTTAAATAATTATACGTTAACTAAGAACATACTAATATATTTTTTATTTTCATGCGTGAAATATGTTAAAGTGACATTTATATTGAAACGAATGGAGTATTGTGTTATGGAGTTACTGCTACAAACGCCTACGTGATAACTTTATACTTCTACCGTTTCAGAATAAATGTCACTTTAATATATTCACGCATATTAAACAATCAATAAAATATACTAATGTATTTATTATATAGTTGTTTAAATGAAAATTATTTAACAAAACATCTATTGGTTATTTATAAAGGTAAGAAAGATATTTAATATGAAAAATTATATTGGAAATGTAGAAGGACACTTATTTGAAATAAAATTAAAAAGTTAAAATGACATTATTTGTGAAACAGAGAGGGAGTATAACTTTTGTGATATTATCTTTGATTATTGTTTTTTCTTGTTCCAATTACTAGTACGTATAAGACTTCGTGATTAACAAATCTTTTATGAAACGAAATGGGTATAGAATGTTACTAATTATCATACCATGAATGTAGTTAATGACGTTGACTCGTGAAGTAATCGTTGCATGTTGTAGACTGACTCTTACCGTGTGTAGTTACTAGTTCGTCTTCTCTCATTTAATGAATACGTAATGCCTTATGTCTCGATGTGAAAATGTAAAGTCATTCCACCGAGTCAAATTTGCATTATGTCTTGTTTTTAGAATATTAAATTACATTCCATAAAGTCAAATTTACATATTCTGTCTTGTTATTGTTTTATTTAAAAATCGACAAATTATTTTAGGAAGTCGCAGTGGTGCGATGGGGCACTTGGAACAGCTTATATGAGTAAATGCGGCCGCCCGGCGGGAATAGCGTTCAACAACAAAACAGGAGATCTCTACGTGGCCGATGCTCCGTTGGGTCTCCACGTCATCCTTCCCGGCGGCGGTTTGGCCAGGAAGATCGCCGACAGCGTTGACGGCAAGCCCTTCTTGTTCCTCGATGGTCTCGACGTTGATCCCACTACTGGCGTCGTCTATTTCACTTCCTTCAGCTCAAAATTTACCCCTGGGTAAAGTTTCATTTTCCTTCTATTTACATAGATAAATAATTTTTACATATTCTATAAACAAAACTAATGTAGAAATTTTTACAAACCTTGTTATATCAAATCTAAAACAAAGGTCAGTCTAGACTTTCGAAACAGTTTTTCCAAATGGTTTTTTTAAACATTGCATAATTTATATGTACAACTTTTAAAATGATTAAAACTTACCTAGGCATAATTTATTTTTGTAAGGTTATATGTTAATAGATCGATAGGGTTAATTTGATGAATGACTATTAGATCTATAATAAGTATATTTTTTGTTATTGTACGATCAAGTTTCCCTAGTTCGATGTTATACATTTTGTTTGAATGATGTTCATATTTAAGTAAATTATTAACTTCAAATAAGTTAAAAAAAAAACATTTGTTATTACTAATCAGTATGTTTGGGCATATAGCGACGTGTTGAAAGCAGTGGCATCAAAAGACGCTACCGGAAAACTCTTCAAGTATGACCCATCAAAAGATGCCGTGACTGTATTGCTGGAAGGTCTAAGTGGCTCAGCCGGTTGTGCCGTTAGCTCAGACGGTTCGTTCGTACTGGTTAGTCAGTTCACAAAGAGTAACATCAAGAGGTATTGGGTCAAGGGACCTAAAGCTGGCACTTCGGAAGACTTCACTAATGCGGTTTCGAATCCTGACAACATTAAGAGGATCGGTTCTTCTAGAAACTTTTGGGTTGCTTCGGTCGTGAACACAGCCACCGGACCAACAAACCCGTCGGCGGTTAAAGTTGATTCTAATGGTAAAGTGCTTCAGACAATTTCGGTGAAGGATAAGTTTGGGGATACTTTGGTCAGCGAGGTTAACGAATTCAAAGGAAGGCTTTATGTCGGTACTCTGTTTGGTCCTTTTGCCGGAATTATTAAAAAACAAAACTAATTTTATGTAACATTAGTTTGGTCAGATATGGTAATAAAAATGATATAAAGTTTTTAATTCTTCCCTCCATATAAAACTACAGTTCTTGTATAAGAGAAGCACAAGCTAGGGTATAGATGAGCTTCTCTGAATGATTCAACTATTTATTGATAACTTTGCACAATGCCTTGACATAGTAAGGTGAGACCTTCCCGTTCATTTCCAAGAAGTACATGATGAGTCGTTTCTAGTCTCTACATAACTAATCTACTATGATCAGGAAATGGTTGGTTTAAAGGAGAAGGAAAGAGCAATTCAGCGATGTTTCTTCTTATGCAAGCTTCTAAAGGGCTCTTACTGGCTACCAATGTGGTTCTTGTTATGCAAGTTAAGTTATCGAGGAGATTCTTGGAATGATTGAACCATTTCTTTATAATGTTTTCCTTCATTTCAAAGACAATGTGATGGACCACGGGATCCACGCAAAAAAATTAGATTTACGGTTTAATCTAACATATTGATTAAGTAATGTTAAAACAATAAATTTAGTATAAACGAGTAATGTTAAAATAAATATCAACCATTGTTACAATTTAGTTTTAGTGTAAAATTTATATATGCATGAGTTGTAAAAAAGGTTATCAGTATATTCATTTACGTATCTTTGAATTGATCAACTCTTTAGTTTATATTTTCATTGATTCTCAAAAAAAAAGTATACATAAAATTATCAAAAAAAAATTATAAATCTATAAGACAAAAAAACAAATTTGCTAGTCAAAAGTAATAAATATGTATTTGGTTACATGAAATAGGTTTCCTTCACTTGCGAGTGATCCGAGATCAGTTGTTGTCTTCATTTCCAAATCTACACCAAATATGTTTGACCAAATCACCTTTTAGTTGTTGATGCATTTGTCTATCTCAAATCTTTGTTCGAACACCCATCATATTTGCGATATTGGAAGGCATATCTGTAGAATATGTTAGATCGACATGTGAAGTCCCGTGGTCTTTTCCTTGTTCTAACTCTGAAGCATCATGTTGATTGTATCCATCTCGTTCGTCTTGTACTATCATATTATGGAGTATGATACATGCTCACATAATCTTTCCAATTTTAATTTTATCCCAAAACAATGCTGTATTTTTAACAATGGTAAAGCGAGCTTGCAAAACTCCAAAAACACGCTCGATATTTTTAATTCGTAATTAATTAATCGATTCTCACAAATGTTCACATGCAATGTAGATGCATCCAAGTTTTAATTTTTAGTGTTTTTTTGAAAGCGAGATAGTTGCATGCTTTTTCGTTGAAGCTAATACTCTAAAAGGAATGAACATCACTGTCGGAATTTAAGCATTAGATGATCACTGTGTATTGTAATACTTCGAAAAATGTGTGTTTGTGTGCTAGTTGCTAGGCGTTTACATATTACTGTAATAATTTAGATATCAAGAAATCTATTACTCCAGGTACTTTTATTTAGTTCGTTAAGATTTACAAATGATATGTTCGAACTTCGAAGTAATAAATTATCATAAGAATAAAATGTAAGGAAAATTACGTAGTAAGATACAAAATTTGCTCAAAATTTGCTCAACAAAAGCTAATATTTGAGGAAGAAACGTTGATTATAGTTTTAAGCTGCAGAACAAAGAACAAAGCAAATGTTTAAGGTGATTTTAAACTATTCTCTCATATTTATAAAGTCAAATACTAAAACAATACCATGTTTTCTTAATCTTACACATAATCACATGAATAGTTAAATAGTTAAAATAAGACAACTGATAAATGAGATTACAATATGTTATGTACACTAAAAACGTATGTGAAACCAGTCTATCCACTACAAGAAAAATGGGCTTTACTAGCGGACGAAAAACGTTATCTAACGATTCAACAGCGGTTTAAGGAACGCTGTATCATCGCCCGTCATAGTAGGTCAAGCACAATAGATAGCGGTTTTTGCTACTGCTATTATATTGTGATATAGTATAGCGTTTCTTTATATGTAATTAAATATTTTTTAATAACGTTTAATTTTTGTTATTATTTACGTTAAATTATTATTTATTTTAATTATTTATTTTGATTATTTATATTTATTTTAAATATTTATTTTTATTTTAATTATTTAGAAATAAACGCGTAATAGAATCTTTATTTATTAAACATTATAAATTACATTCAATATGAAATAAGAAGCGGTTTACACTAAACCAGATTTTTAAAAAAAAATAAACCTAATCTTACCTAAACCTAATTTTAATTAAAACTAATCAAAACCTAATCTTCTTAGCCGCCTCCTCGCCGATAGCTCCACGACGACAAGCTCCTCTCACAACCACTAGCATCTCTGTTGCCTACTCACAGAAAGGCCCATGGCCACCACTCTTCTCACGACCGCCAGCTTCTCATCGCCTCCTAGCTGCAAACCCAATGACCACCACATCTGCTAACAATCACCAACTTTGCTCACAATCCACAACTTTTATCAAGAACAAAAAATCAGATCTAAAAGAGAGAGATAAAGAGGAGGAGCCATCTTACGCTAGTTGTGGAGGAGAGGAGGTTTGGAGGCGCAGATGAGTTGTCATGAAGAAGAAGAAGAGGAGGCGTCACTTCTTCACGGAGCAGAGAAGGAGGCCTCTGTCATTAACGAAGACAGATTGGATGATGGAGATGGCAGAGATAGAGATCTCGCGATGGTAGAGATCGTAACGAAAAGACGTGGGCAGACAGAGGTGGAGAAGAGATAAGATACAAAGATGAGAGGTTGGCGGTGAAGACTATCTTTGATGAGATGCAAAAGGGACGAGGGAGAGAGAGAGGAAGCAACACAGATTGTCTTTGATGAGACTGTAAAGAAGAAGAAAAAAGATGTTACCTAGAGAGTTTGTCGTACTGTAGAATACAAAGATAAGAAAATTGTTTCAGATCAAATAAATCTGAACCATTCAATAGATTTAATCAATGGTCTATATTTTGCCATCCACACACTTTTTGTTTCAGCCAATGAAAGAGTAGAAGGAGGATTGCTGTATTTTTTTCTAAGCACAAAGGAAATTACTAATTGTGGTTTTTTATTTTTATTGTAGTTTTAGTATTATATAGAGATAAATATTTTGAATATTGTAAATATTAATGTTATAACTTAGTTTAAATTATTAAAAGAATTTTTTTAGTGTTGAGATTTTATTTTTTAATTACTTGTAGAGTTTAAAATTAAAATCTGAAAATAAAATTATGAGTATACGGTTTAAAGGTTAAATTTTTATGATTTGAGATTAATTTTTGAGAAAAGATTAATTTTGAGTTTGTATCTAAGACTTGAAGTTAATTTTAAAATTTGATGATGAAATATTAAAGTTTGAAGTTTGTATTTATCATATAGGGTTCAAAAAGTTGTTTAGGGTTTAGGGGTTCGAAAAGCCAAACATAGCGTTTTTAGTTATATTTTGCTATTAAACATAAGCGTTACAGAAAAAACTATAAGCTATCATAGCGATTCCAAATATGTTATTCTATTATAGCGTTTTCAAATATACAAACGCTATCTAAAACTAACGGGTATATCAATCATAGCATAATCGGAAAAAACGCTATGCTCGTTTGCTATTAAAACACAAATTTCTTGTAGTGATCATAATTTATCATCACGATCTCTATAACTCCACATCCCTCTCTCTCACAGTCTTTTCTATCTCTCTCTATGATTTCTCACTTCCTGAAGATGAGCTCCTCTTCTCCCACGATCAAGGTTGCCATACTATGGGGAAGTGCATGATTTTAAAGTCAAGCAGAAGAAAAAGGAGAAAGAATCATCCAAGAAGAAGGAGCAGAGGGAGAAAAGCAAGAACAAGGTGGTAATGGAGGTGAATCAAGAGTAAGAGTGAAAGAAGAAGAAGAAGAAGAACGTTAAGGTTTTTTTTTCTTTTGCTTTTAAGTTGTCTTGTAAATAGTACGTAGGTTAAGAAGATGTTTTTTCTTTTCCTAATAAGAGGTTAAGAAATGTTTTTATCCACGTTGGTAAGAATATTAAAAAAAACTAGAAGAAGAATGATATGTATATTATGCTTTTAATTTTAATGAAAAAATGTTTTTATTTATGTAATCGTTTTTAGTTTTCTCATAATCGTTACTTCCTCTGTTCCTCATAGATACATATTCTAGAAAAAAATTGTTTATAAAAGATCAATATTTTATATTTTCAATGCATGTTTTATTAATTAATTGTAAATTCAAAAAACTTAATTGCACTAATTAATTTTTTATTGATTTAAATTTGAGGAAAAAAGATAAATACAAAAAACTAATAAATTTATTGTATTTTATTAAAAAATGTGAAAAAAATAGAATATAAATCTCTTAGTAAGTAACAATGAACAAAGACTCTTTTCTTATCCTTTGTTGTAAAGGTACTCCTTTTGAAGAAGAAGAAGAATAAAAAGTATTATTAAAGAAAAAAAAAAAACAATGAACAAAGACAAGACAGCAACTCCAGTTACTTTCTGGTTAGGTTTCTTCACTGTTTCAGTTAGTTACTCTCATATCATTAAGTTTTCGGTTCGGTCCAAAACTTTTGATAAACCAAGTCACTTTAAGATGGCTGGTATGACCGGTTCAGTCTTTGATCTTTCTTACTCTCTCTAGTGATTTCTCGTCATCGCTTTAGTTACATAAGACTACTCGTCTTCCCTCTCATTGACTCCTACCAAAATATCTTCAACCGTTATTCTTCCCCATCTCTTTCAACCGGTAGGTTAAACTCTCTACTCTTATTTACAGATTCTCGTTTTTAGATCGTCTCTAGTTGTCTACGATCAGATTCGAATTGTTACACCTATTTGATTTTGTTCTCAAAGTCGTGTTACAGTAAGATTGAAGCTCAAACGTTAATAATTTGTAATAAATTTAGGAACTTTCAATACGTATGTGAATCCTTTTGATCTATATTGTTAAGATTATTGAGTAGATTTGTATAATAGATTGGTTTCATAAAAATATAATCTCTGTTTTTTAGCTTGCAGATTCGGATTGTTATACATATTTGATTTTGTTTGTAAACTGTTCTCAAAGCTGTGTTACAGTAAGACTAAAGCTCAAATGTTAATAATTTGTAATAAATTTAGGAACTTTCAATACGTATCTGAATCCTTTTGATCCATATTGTTAAGATTATTAAGCAGATTTGTATAACAGATTAATTTCATGAAAAAAAAAATGATGTTTTTTTTCTGTGTGTTTCTAGATTTTCTTATTCTTCTCCTTTCAAATGGTGTTACAGTAAAGATTAAAGCTCAAATTTTAATAATTTGTACTAAACTTAGGAACTTTCAATACGTATGTGAATCCTTTGCTCCATATTGTTAAGATTATTAAGCAGATTTGTATAACAGATTAATTTCATGAAAAAAAAATTTGATGTTTTTTTCTGTGTGTTTCTAGATTTTCTTATTCTTCTGCTTGCAAATGGTGTTACAGTAAGATTAAAGCACAAATTTTAATAATTTGTAATAAATTTAGGAACTTTCAATACGCATGTTAAAGATTATTGAGTAGACTTGTATAATAGATTGGTTTCATAACAAAAAGTTTTGATTTTTTTTTTTTTTTTTAAATGTAATTTCTGTTTTCTAGCTTGCAAAATGGTGCTTGAGAGCTCTGTTGCTCTGTCACCTAGAAGGAGACACGGATTGTTACGAGATCAAGTTCAGCTTATCAAAAGAAAAGACTCTGGAAGATACGAGATTGTTCCTATTGAGGATCCTTTGTCTTTTGAGAAAGGCTTCTACGCTGTGATCCGTGCTTGTCAGCTGTTGGCTCAGAAGAACGATGGGCTTATCTTGGTTGGTTTAGCTGGTCCTTCTGGAGCTGGGAAGACTGTTTTTACTGAGAAGATTCTTAACTTTATGCCTAGTATTGCTATTATAAATATGGATAATTATAATGATGGGAGTCGTGTGATTGATGGGAACTTTGATGGTATGTTATCAAAACTATCTTGTTGTGGTTTGGTTTGAGTTGTTTTTTTTGTTAGGTTTAAATGGAATGTTTTGGTTTTGTTGTAGATCCAAGGTTGACTGATTATGATACACTTCTTGATAATTTACATGGGTTAAAGGATGGGAAGTCTGTTCAGGTTCCATTATATGACTTCAAGTCAAGTTCCAGAATTGGTTACAGGTATTGTTTTTTGAAAGAACTAATAGTTGTTAAAGAGCTACATATCTGTTATGACTTATCTGTTTAGTTCTTGTTTTTGTGTAGAACGCTTGAAGTGCCTAGCTCTCGCATTGTTATTCTTGAAGGCATATACGCTTTGAGTGAGAAGCTAAGGCCGTTTCTAGACCTTCGTGTCTCTGTCACTGGTGGAGTGCATTTTGATCTTGTCAAGCGTGTTTTGCGTGACATTCAACGTGCTGGTCAGGAGCCTGAAGAAATCATTCATCAGATATCTGAGACGGTTTTTCATGCTAAACTTTTCTTATCTTTTACTTTTTGTCTTGATAGAGCATGAAAATGATGGTTATGTGTGTTTTTCTCCAACCAGGTTTATCCTATGTACAAGGCGTTTATTGAACCAGACTTGAAGACAGCTCATATCAAGATCCAAAACAAGTTTAACCCCTTCAGTGGCTTTCAGAATCCAACATATATTCTAAAGGTTACAACGTTATTATTTCTAAAATGTGTATATTGTGGCGCTCTTATGTTATCTGCAACTGAAAGTACTATATTAGTGAGTTTTGTTATCTTATTGTTTAGTCAACGAAGGCTGTAACACCAGAACAAATGAAAGCAGTTATGTCTGAGGATTTCAAGGAGCGTACAGAGGAAACTTATGACATCTATCTGTTACCACCAGGAGAGGATCCTGAAGCATGCCAATCATATCTCAGAATGAGAAACCGGGATGGAAAATATAATCTCATGTTTGAGGTTTGGTTAATACTTGTTTAGACTATTGTTCTTATGTAGAAACGCCATATCAGATTATGAACAGATGAATGCTTACCGTTCAGTGTCTTTTGCTTTCAGGAATGGGTTACAGATCGTCCATTTATTATATCACCTAGAATAACTTTTGAAGTCAGTGTTCGCCTTCTCGGAGGATTAATGGCATTAGGTTATACCATTGCAACAATCTTGAAACGAAAGAGTCATATCTTTGCTGATGAGAAGGTTATTGTAAAGACTGATTGGTTGGAACAACTGAACCGGACATATGTTCAGGTAGTATCTGCTTCTCTTGCTATCTGTAAAAGCTTAAACTGTCTTTTAGGTTGGTATTACGAAACTAGTAATCAATTTTTTTCCATTTAATATTATGAAGGTACAAGGTAGAGACCGTTCCTTCGTCGAAAATGTGGCCAGCCAACTTGGATTGGAAGGTTCATATGTTCCACATACATATATTGAACAGATACAGCTAGAGAGGCTTGTGAATGATGTTTTGGTATGAGTTGTGCTTTATAACACTCAGATTTTGGTTGATTGTGTTCATGATGGTAGTTTGATATGTTTTTCAGGCTTTGCCAGATGATTTGAAGACAAAACTGAGCTTAGATGATGATACAGTTTCTAGCCCTAAAGAAGCTCTCTCAAGAGCGTCTGCTGATAGTAGAATGAAGTATCTTCACGGGTATCTCCTCTTATTCCTTCTCCTTGATTAGCTTATTTTGAGAAAAAAGACAGGAATGTAAGAATAAAAGACAACATATGTTACGTCAGGGAATCATCTGACTTGTGTATTGATGATGCACAATTTAACAGCGGTGTGTCAAAGTCATACACAAATCAAAGACATAAAGTGTTGCCTAACTTGACAAGGCTTGCTGTTAACAATAGAATGTTAGATGCCAGAGCCCCTGCTTCACCAGCCACTCTTCCAAATCAGGTAAAGTGGTGTCTCTGTTTTCTTTTGCCCTGAGAGAGTTCAGAATAACTGAACATATAAATGTTCTGTAGGGTGTTATCACTCAGCTGTCAGATCAAATATCAACACTGAACGAGAGGATGGATGACTTCACGACCCGCATCGAAGAGTTGAATTCCAAGATCCCTAACAGGATAGCTGCTTCAGGTAGTCAACACAACTTGGCTTTACCAATGGAAAATGGTAATGGTTCCCTCTTATCACTCTCCTCATCCGCATCTCAGCTTGTAAGAGAGTCTCCTCTGATGGAAGAGGTATGTTTACAACTCTTACATGCTCACTATTATCCTCGCATTTGCTTCACTCTAACAGAATCAACAGAGCATCAGAGGTTTAGTGATTTTTGTATACTCTTTAACATCTGGAACAGGTTATACTGCTTGCTCGTGGACAACGTCAGATAATGCATCAAGTGGACACGCTAAGCAATCTTGTTCGAGAGTATGTTGGAGAAAGGTCTCGCATAGAGAGACTAGACAGCAACAGAACAAACAGCGCAACACAGAACCTCGAAACCTCCACTCTACCTGTTCTTCTTGCTTTGGCCATTGGCTGTCTCGGCGTTTTTGCCTACACTCGTCTCAAGTAGTTGCTGTAACAGTTAAGTTACTTTATAAACCCACGGCCTGTGGCAATGATGTAAATAACAGAGTTTGTGATACAAACTGGATAAATCAGTCTGCTGACAATGTGCTAAGAATAAAGAGACTGATTCGTATATAAATCACTATGCAATAATAATACACAGTAGAAGAAGCAAGTTCTCTTAACATCTTCAACAACTTAATCACATAATAGGTCTCCTGAAGTATATGGTAACTTTCTAAAGTAGGGCTGGGCGTTTGGGTTCGAATTGGGTACTTTTGGTTTGGGTTTGAACTGGGTACTTTTGGATTTTCGGGTATATCGATATAGAGATATAAAATCTGTTTGGATACTTTTACATATCATATCGAATTCGGATATTTTAAGTTTGGGTTCGGTTATTTTAAATCGGATTCAGATATTATAATTTTGAAAAAAAATATCAAAAATTTTCATTCTTCCTTCAAGTTCTTGTAGTTACAATTTTACCATTAACTTAATTGATTTCTTAATTTTAATTTGGACGATTAATAGATTTTGGAAGTAAAATTTTGAAAATAAAAATAAACTAAATTAGTTATTGTTATAAGATTTTTAAATATAACTTATGTTAATGCATGAAACAAGAAACTTAACATGCAATTTAAGTGAGTATTATATCACTTTATATGTATATTATTTGATTTTGAACAATGAAAAACATCAAAATAAATATTTTGATAAAATAATAGAAATAAACTAGAAATATATGATCAAGTGTATATATATATATGTTCGATTATTTTCGGATATCCATTTAGGTTCGGATATCTAATCTCCCCTAATTTAATATCGGTTTGGATATTTTGCTATTTTGGGTTTTTTCGGGTCGTTCTGGTATCTGAATAAACGCCAACCCTTGTTGTAAAGAAGTATGAAATATAGAGGACCTATTATTCAATTTAGAAACAGATACAACAACTCCTAACATCCACCCTCAACCATCATCATCGTCTTCCTCGTCCATCTCCCTTCCGATGATTCTCTTTCTTCAGATCGAAACTCCAAAACTCAAACTTTAAATAACTCAATTCACCACATTACAACCCATCTCCTCCTCCTCCTCCTCTCAGAAAAAACCCTAATTCAACCTCCCCTGTTCTTGCATCCAAATCAAAGAAAGCTGATCCAACATTCCGAGCTCCAAAGTTTCTCCCTTTCTGAACCAAATTCCATAAAGGAACAATCTTTACTGAATCAAACCTCCTGGGTACTTCGAAATGAATCTCCTTTATTGCTCAAACATAGCTGACAAGGAGAAAGATCCCATTTTTCTTTAATGGGTAAAAAGAGAATCTGAGATGAGTCGCTCTCCCTCTTTCTCCGTGAAGCCAGACCTCACCATCAAACCCGATCTCGCCTCCTTATCCCAATGGGTCCACTCCTTCTGCATAATGAGATTCGATCTCGAACAAGGCCAGATCCTAGAATCATCCTACCCACAAGGCTCCCTCTCCCAGCAAGAAGAGCTCTCCGTCTCCTTCAACTCCTTCCCGGACTCCGTCTCGCAGAAACACAACCGCTCCAGCATCCACGACTGCATCTTCTTCTTCCGTTTCCTCAAAGACGACAAGTTCCTCTACGGTTACGTGTTCAACAGGCAAAGACACGACGAGAGGCTGAAACGTGGAGGTGAGCAGAAGTCTGTTGTGATACTATCGCACAGTCCTTACTCTAGTGTCTTTAGACCTTTGCTTCAGATCATTGGTCCTTTGTATTTTGATGTTGGGGAGAAAGCTATTGAACATGTTGCTGGTTTTGTCTCCTTGTGGCCTCCTCCTGTGCCTGGGAAGCTCATGGAGTTGCCTATTGGTAACGCGATGCTTAAAGTGAATTTGCCTCCTCCGCATAGTCTTCCTTTGGAGGATGGGGTTTCGTATGAGGAGTCTGCTTCTTCCATGGCTCCTTTGCTTCCTACGAATCAGTCTGTTCCTCAGGGGCTGTTCCATGATGCGGATTTGTTTGGGGTTTATAGAGGGTTGTTGTTGCAGTTGTGGACGTTGTGGGAGTTGTTGTTGATCGGTGAGCCGATACTTATTATAGCGCCGACGCCTCCGCAGTGTTCGGAGGCTGTTGCTTGTCTTGTGAGTTTGGTTGCTCCGTTGTTTTGTAGTGTGGACTTTAGACCGTATTTCACTATACATGATCCGGGGTTTGCGAGGTTGAACTCTCTCCGGGAAGGAGAGAGTTTCCCTCCTATGGTTTTGGGTGTTACTAATCTTTTTTTCCTTAAAGCGCTTCGGAATATGCCGCATGTTGTCTCTGTTGGAACTCCTTCTTTGAACTCAAACCGTGTGCCGTTTTCAAGTAGGTCTTCTACTGGTAGATTATCCGGTGGTAAGTCTGAAGGTTTAGGTGTTCAGCAGCTTTCTTTGAGGAGATTCTCTCCTACAAACTTGCTGAACGCTGTGAAACTTAGACGAGATGGACCTTTGTGTCTTATGACTGAGCATAAAGAAGCTGTGTGGACGAGTTACTCTGCGGTAACGAAGCCGGATACGGGCGTTTTGAATAGACTTGTTGATGCTGGGATGTCTCCGAGAGTTGAGGAGTCAATGTCTGTTGTGAATAATGAGATTCTGAGACGGCATTTCTTGGAGTTGACTACAAACTTCTTGGCTCCTTTTGGTCCTTATTTCCAAGTTAACGCTCCTTCTGATGGAACTTCACCTTATGTGGCCCCTCCTCCGCTTCCATCGTTTAGTGCTGATGAGTTTCTTATGAACTTATCCGCGAGAGGTGTGGGGAAGTTTTTGTCTAAACGCATGAAATCAAATTGGCCTGACTTGTATAGGTATTGTACACTCTTTGAGTTTGACAATCTTTGGAGTTGTTGTCTTATTCTGGAAACTATTGTTTTCAGGCGGTTTCTACAAGGGCCTAATTTTGTCCCATGGTTCCAAAGACGGCGTGCTGTAGCTGAGCAAGAACAACGTAGATTATGGAAGGTGGCTAGAATGAAGACTGATATGAGGCAGATTACATCTCAGATGAATGAAATTGAAGCTGTGGATTCCTTTGATGCCATTGAGAAATACATTAATGAAGAAGTCAAGGTATGCTATATCTTCCCTTCTGATTCTTACTTGCATGAACTAGTTCCCTCTGCTGCAGCTGAACCGTAGACTTAGATAACATATTAAGAACAATCTTTTGCAGTTGAGGGAATCAGGAGGAGGAGGAGGTGCAGATTCAGAAGCAAGTTTTGAGAAACTGAAGAAGGATTTACAGGCGGTGTTTAGTGTACTACCAAGGGATATGCAGGAACTTTTGCTTTCAAATCCGCAAAGAGCATCACTTCTTCAAGATCCATCAGAGCTCCAATGATTCATCTCTTTTTTTAACTAGAGATTCCATGAAGAATTGTGGTTTCATTCTCTTATGTTCTGTTTAATTCTTTCAACTGTGTCAAAAGAAAATTCTTCATATTCCTTAGTTTTTTCTCCACGTAACTCATGAAACATGTGAATCAAGCAACACTGGATTCACTGATCAATATTCTGTTGTGACACAATTATACGTCCATTAGATATTGCCATAGTAACATGATTGATTTGTCTCTCTTTAGAACCACTATAGAAGCACATAATATCTTGTTGAAAAAAGTATCTGTCACAAGAAGTTGATTTCATCAAAGAGATCACTCTTTACATTATGTACACTAAACAAATCCATAGGAGATCACAAGAAGTTGATTTTTATCATATTGCTGACCGGCCTGTCTGTTGAACTAGTGTCAGTTACCACAAGCAGAAGCCGCGACATCACATGCCAAAAGCTATTACCAGTGAGAGGATGTGAAAACAAGGTGGGCATACTCAAAACTCATTAGACAATACATCAACCTCAGGCATCTCTCATCACCTTGTAATGTTTCCTCACCATGGATGGCTGAATCCACAGGCACATCAAGCGGTTCTGGAGAGCCATAAACTTCTACATTAGCTGATCTTCTCCCGTAACCAAAACATCCTGAACTTAGCTTTGTCAGACTACATGGCATTAGTCTTTGCATGCTCTGTGTTCGAATTCTTGTTTATAGCATCATCAATCCATCCATATACTGTCCTAACAGCCTTTTGACACATAAGTACATTAGCTGATCTTCTCCCGTAACCAAAACATCCTGAACTTAGCTTTGTCAGACTACATGGCATTAGTCTTTGCATGCTCTGTGTTCGAATTCTTGTTTATAGCATCATCAATCCATCCATATACTGTCCTAACAGCCTTTTGACACATAAGTACCTAAAGTGAAGGAAAAACAAAATAAAAAGATAGATTAAAAAAAGAAAACAAAATAAAAAGATAGATTAAAAAAAGAGTATCACGCCGTTGCCGGGGATCGAACCCGGGTCACCCGCGTGACAGGCGGGAATACTTACCACTATACTACAACGACCTTGTTGTTTGCTTAATTTTGAGTATATATTTGTACCTTAATGACTTTTGCAACTTTCTCTTCGTCAACAGCATCATAATGTATGAATGAAGTTGAAAATACTAAATAAGACAGAAAAATGAAGAAATCAAGTGTTACAACCAAATAAACACACATCATGTGTGCAGTAACATTACCTGTCCACGCACCAAACCAATTCATCCAGACCTTAAATACTCAAGAAACCAACCACCACTATCTTTCAAACAAGAAGAAAGAACTTTAGTCTCCAAGAAAAAATCTCCTCATATGAATCTATCTGCACAGTTAACTACATTCTTGGTTTAGCTACATTCACCTGTTTCAAGTTTTCTACTATGAATCAAGAAGAGATTCTTCTGTATGTTTCTAAACTTTTACAGTTCTTGAAATGAAAATCAAGAAACAGAAAAATCTTGGTTTAGTAACCACTTTAGCTTTGATTCTGTAACATTTATGAAGACAAGAAGTTCATGATCTAACACACAGAACTTAAAAACTATTCCAAACTAGGCGCCACTTCTGTCGGATTAGACTCAAACACATCTTCAGAGTTCGAGCCCTCTGCTTCATCAAGAAGGTCACGAGACTCCATCGCCTCCTTATACACTGGCGTCTCCTTGAAGTCCGTCGCACCTTCATTGTACGTCCCCGCCGCAATACCACCGGATACTAACTGTTACACCATCAAAAACCATTAATCGCATGAAACAATATTAAAATTGATCAAAATGTCTGACTGGTTTAGTGTAAACCACGCATTTAACCGGTTCTTGTAAACTCTGAGTAAATATTAATAGAGTAACAAACTCTGTTACAGAACATTTTCATTTTCACATTTCATCTTCTTCAACTTTTCTAACATGGCATCTGTTACTCTGTTTATATATACAGAGAGTTTACAAAAACCGGTTAAATACACGGTTTACACTAAACCAATCATACAATATGATCAACTCTATTTTATATTATTTTTAGTGTTAAATTTATCCTGAACAAAAGAAACACTTTTGAACAATACTGTAGATAGATGTGTCATTGTTTTAAGAAATTTGAACTCTTAGAACTACTTTAGAAAGAAAGAACCGGTTAAATACACGGTTTACACTAAACCGATCAACTCTAATAAACAAACAGAGTATAACAGAAGTTGAACGAGTGAAACTTACCGCGAAGAGGATTCCGAAAGCCCACAAGTATTGAACGAAGAAGCCTAAACCATCCCACTGAGGACCTTCGAATGGATCCGGTTCAAGTCCAGGAAGATCCTTAACCGAAATCTTTGGCGCGTCTTTTGGATCACCTCTGAAGCGTGTGTTAACCGCAAACCTATCTTCGCCATCGTCGTAGGCGGTTTCTATCTGATAAGGTGGGTTCTCGTCGTAAAGACCGTTGCTCTCTTCTTGCTGTTCTTTAGTTGTTGTCGGGACGAGTGTACGACGTTTCTTGCTGTCGAACCGACCGGTTTGGGAGGATGTTTTTTTTGAGGCAGAGACTATGTGAAGACGGGTTTTCGATGGGTAATGGAGTCTGGAGGTGGAGAAAAGGTTACGAGAAGAGTCGGTGAGGTCTATGGAGCGGAGGCTAGCTCCTCCGCCACCGGTGCTCACGGTGAGAGCCATTTGTGTTTTTGTTGTGTGGTTATGTGAGAGAGTGAAGCGACGAAGATAAGGATACGGTCTGTTGTTATCAAACAAGTATCAGTTATTATTTTTTAATGGTGGGGCTAATCCAAATTTATGGATGTTTATTTCTTATGATTTCTTTTCTTATATCATATGACTCATATCATCAACAAAACATTACTTTAAAAATTCTCTATATCCTAAGTAGGGCTGGGCAAAAAAACCGAAACCCGAAAATCCGAACCGAACCCGACCCGATAAAAAGGAATCCGAACCGATCCGAACCCGACATAAATACCGAATGGATCTTGTTTTACGGTATTTCGGGTTATGGGTTTTATCCGAACCGAACCCGAACTTAAATGGATATCCGAAAGAACCCGAAACTTTAAAATTCCAAAAAAACTTATATCATACTCAATCTAAATTTCTAATATGTTTCATAAACACATTAATATATTATTAAGTACCTATAATAATTAGTTATGATATGAATAATTAACTCAAATATTTAATCTAATATATAGTGTTATTTGGTTGTTACTAATGTTTATGATTGACATTACATTTGAAGTTCAGTTACGAATAAATTTGTTTTGAAGTTTAAATAATGTTGTTTTTTTTAATTTTCAATATTACTTCTTACGTTTATATAATTGCTAGTTGTTAACTTTAACTTTTTATGTTTCATTATGTATGATTCTCGTTCATACAAGACTTTGGTTTATCATTAATCATGATAGTGTTGTCACATATAGTTCAATGACAAATCTTATATTGTTGATAGATGAGTTTCATAATATTATTTAGAAGCAGAACAATACGATTTGTAGAAGCTAAATACACAATTTAATAAAAAAATTGAAAATATAGTGAATATAATTGAGTATAAATTAGCATTTTTAGAATCGATAACCAAATAAGTATCCGAAACCGAAACTATTTCGGGTTCAACTGGATTTTGGACATGTTACTAAATCCGAACCGAACCCGATTAAACCCGAACCGAATCCGACCCGGATTTTTATAATATCCGAATGGGGCTGAAATTTATGAACCCGAAAACCCGAAACCCGAATGAACCCGAACCGAAACCCGATTGGGACCCCGAATGCCCAGCCCTAATCCTAAGCATGGAACAAGTAATTTTGATTTTAACTTTATGTCAAAAAGTAGAAAACTAAACAAATCATGGTCGATTATTCTTATTAGGCCAAGAACGTTTCATAGGCCTAGTCCAATCGAGTCACATTAGTCGGGTCGGTTGACATCTATGTTACATGAAATAAAAAACGGATACATGGTAGCGGAATCATATCAAAACGCAAAAGCAAAATTTTTTAATCAGATATGGGAATTTTTATCTTCCAGCAATAATGCTTATCATCGTTGTTCATTGTCATCCTCTGTTTGAGATGAAAACATGGTTTTGCTTAAAACTATAGACAACCTATATGGAAATAAACGACAAAAGAGAATATTCTTTAACTTTCTTTATATATCATACCTTTTTGTTTAGCCGAATTTATACGTAACATCATTCTTTTTATCTACTGATACAAGTTTTCATTTAAATTTAGACCCTTTCTAGAGTGTTACAAATAATACAAGTTATATATCATACCTTTTTGTTTAGCCGAATTTCTACGTAACATCTACTCTATTAAAATAGAGTCATTCTTTTTATCTACTGATACAAGTTGTTATTTAAATTTAGACCCTTTCTAGAGTGTTACAAATAATACAAGTTATATTATTGATTGAACCGCATTACTTAAATTAAACCGACGGTTATTTATAGAATAGAGTTTTGAGCTTATTTTTGTTTTTATGACATTTAATTGTTTGATTTTTGGGCTTAGTATTAAAGAAAAACTCCAAAAACATTAAATAAACTTTCCACCTTAATAGATCAAAAATCAATTACTATTTTCAGGCCAAAAAATATTTAATATTTTCAACAAAACAAAATTATCTATTATTAATCACTTATTTAAATCATGTACTTTAAAACAAGTTAATATTTTATGTTAATATTTTTAACCCAAACAAAATTAATATTTTCAACAAAACAAAATTATCTATTATTAATCACTTATTTAAATCATGTACTTTAAAACATATTAATATTTTTTATTTTAAATAACAATCACTCCATCTTGATAAATTTTAATGGTAACTTTTAAATAATTTATTTTTTATTTTTCTTAAATAATTTACAGATTTAAAAAAAATGTAAAGCAAAACCAAAAACCAAATCTAAAAACTAAATTCCAAAACCAAAAGCTGAAAACGCATATTTTCTGTTTTTTTTATTACAAAATAAACTATTTCAAAATTTTTAGAAAATTATTTTGTCATCCTTTCAGTTTTAAATTACATGTTCGATTAATTGAGATTTGTTTGTTGGTAATATCAGTTCAAACTAACTTAGCAGGTCTAAAAATTAAAAACCCAAACCAAAAGCTGAAAATCAAAAATAGAAACATAAAAACTAAAAACGAAAAACCAAAATTTAAAACAAAATCTAAAAATAAAAACTGAAACCAAAAATTAATGAAAAACAAGTATCACCACAAATTTTGGTGAACTGATTTTATCCCAAAACATTATTTAAATTAAGATAAAACCCAATTACATAAATTTTTGATCATAAAAAATTATGCGCTTGAATTATATTTTTTACTTTTTTATTACAAAATAAACTATTTCAAAATTTTTAGAAAATTATTTTGTCATCTTTTCAGTTATAAATTACATGTTCGATTAATTGAGATTTGTTTGTTGGTAATATCAGTTCAAACTAACTCAGCGGATCTAAAAATTAAAAACTCAAACCAAAAGCTGAAATGAAAAATAGAAACATAAAAATTAAAACCCAAAAAATCAAAATCTAAAACAAAATCTAAAAATATAAATTGAAACTAAAAACTAATGAAAAACAACCATCACTACAAATTTTGGTGAACTGATTTTATACCAAAATATTCTTTAAATTAAGACAAAACCTCAATTATATAAATTTTTAATCATAAAAAATTTGGGTAATATCGGTTCAAACTAACTCAGCGGATCTAAAAATTAAAAACTCAAACCAAAAGCTGAAATCAAAAATAGAAACTTAAAAATTAAAACCCAAAAAATCAAAATCTAAAACAAAATCTAAAAATAAAAATTGAAACTAAAAACTAATGAAAAACAATCATCACCACAATTTTTGGTGAACTGACTTTATACCAAAACATTCTTTAAATTAAGACAAAACCCCAATTATCTATATTTTTAATGATAAAAAATTTCCGTGCTTTTAAGCGCGGGTCAAAATCTAGTTATAAATAACTGTGATGGTGGTTTGTTGTAAGTCGGTAGTTAAGGATATATCTACTCTATTAAAATTGAGTCATTCTTTTTATCTACTGATACAAGTTGTCATTTAAATTTGGACCCTTTCTAGAGTGTTACAAATATGTAAAACAAGCCATATAATTAATTAAACCGTATTACTTAAATTAAACCGATGGTTATTTATGGGATATAGTCTTGGGCTTACTTTTATTTTTTAAACAAATTATATAGTTTGGTTTTTGTGCTTAGTATTAAGGAAAAACTCCAAAAACATTGAATAAACTTTCCACCTTAATAGATCAAAAAATAAATTATTATTTTTAGGCTCAAAAGGTATTTCATATTTTTAACAAAACAAAATTGTCAATTATTAATCATTTATCTAAATCATGTAATTTAAAATATGTTAATGTATTTTTTATTTTAAATAACAATCACTTTATTTTGATACATTTCAGTGGTAACTTTTCAATAATTTTTTATTTTATTTTCTTAAATAATTTACTGATTTAAAAAAATGTAAAGCAAAACCAAAAACCAAATCTAAAAACCAAAAGATGAAAGTTATATTTTTTTTTGCTTTTGTTTATTTACAAAATAAACTATTGCAAATTTTTTTTCCGTCTTTTCAGTTTTTAAATTAGATGTTCGATTATTTATGATTTGTTTGTTGGTAATATCAGTTCAAACTAACTCAAGGGGTCTAAAATTAAAAACACAAACCAAAAGCTGAAAATCAAAAGTAGTAACTTAAAAACTAAAAACCAAAATCTAAAACAAAATCTAAATATAAAAACTAAAACTAAAAACTAATGAAAAACAACCATCGCCACAAATTTTGGTGAATTAATTTTATAGCAAAACATTCTTTAAATTAAGACAAAACCCAATTATATAAATTTTTAATCATAAAAAATTTCTGCGCTTTTAAGCGCGGGTCAAAATCTAGTTTAGTTGTAAATCTGAGTACAATGTATTCGAGATGAAATATTTCTGTCTAGCCTCATTCTCTGAATTGTCGACTTTGCATATTTTACCTTCTGTAGTAATGTATATATATATATATATATTTTACAATATCATTTTTATACTTACCATACATGTTTATATATATTTAACAGTGATCTAATATGTTTTTATATGAAAATAATTTTATATTGTCAAAATTCAGATAAATTCTGGCATTAGAATTTCAAACAACTCATTTTCACTAATGGTTTTAAAAAGGTTGTTTTTGTATTTTAATCACATTAGCCAATCAAAGTTGTTTATTATGTGTAGTTTTAGTTTTAAGCAAATAAAATTATTATATAAAGAATTTATAAAGAGTTTTTAAAGTAATATTAAAATTATGAAAATAAAAAGTAAAATTATTTAAATAATTTGAAAATGTAAGATACATATAGAGAAATTAATTTAATATATCTGAAGTTTTTAATTATATAAAGAATTTGTAGAGAGTTTTTAGAAACAAATATTAACAAAAGAGGAAAAAAGGACAGGTTTCGAAAAAGCCGTTGGTGAGGGTCCTAAACCACTAGACTAGGGCTGGCCCAGTTCTGACCCAGCTAATTTCAACTCTTGGGTTCGTGGAATAAAAGTTAAGTATTCCTTTCAGAATAATAAAAAACTGACTTCTTCTTTACACTTTAGACAAAAAAGAAAGAAGGAAAGAAAAGCCAAACACTCGAGAGAGAGAAGAATGACTAAAGGTAAATTCCTAAATTGGGTTCAAAAGATTACGTTTTCGATTTCGATTTCCTAATTTTGTTGCGAAATTTGTGTCGCGTTTCCTTTTTTACGGATTTAAAAGATTAGGGATGGTTTAATCGAGTTATTCGATTTACGAAATTGAAGATTACAGTGTTTATGACCGAAATTTACGGTCTTTAGGGTTTCTCTTTCAAAAATCTTTTATTTATAGGAGTTAACTGATTTCGATGATGGTTACTTAATTGGAATCTCTCAATCAAATAGGTGAAGGGCGTGCTGTTGTCACAAACCTAGATGATGAACATGTTCTTCATTCTAACCACAAAGGTAATTTTTTTGTTAACTAGCTCTTTCTCTTCTCTTTATACTAACTATGTATTGATTTGTTGTAAACTGGTGAAGAAAACGGGCTTAAATCTAAAGGCACTGAGAATGAAGATGCAGGTAAATGAAATCAAAGTTTCATTTGTTAATCTAACTATTTCTTCTTTCTTAGTTTTGATCTCTTGTTTTGTTTTAATTAGTTGAACAAATAGAAGGGGTTAAAGCTCCATCAGCCACTAAAGAATCATATAAGAATTTTAAGTTATGCTAATTTGATCAAAATGTTATTTGCGGCAAGAAGAAAGATTGAATTTTGTAAATGATACTTGCAGCAAGAAATAATATTGCTTATAAATAGTGTAAATTTTGTAATAAATGTCACTGAAACTGGATGTTACATAGATCTTATGTTAATAGAATTATCAGCCATGTAGTTAATTATGAATCTGCAACTGGGTTTTCTGTAACTGCACAAGCTCAGCACATAGAGCAATTATACATAATCAAATCAAGACATCAACCTAAGAAAATGAAACATACTTGGAACAATTTTCTAACTTGTAAGCGTTTGCATTCTGCTGCCTAAGGGAATAACACTTTCATTCTAGTTCAGTATCCTAATTTTTTATTATCTTTCAATGGACCCAATTCCAAGAAAATAAATTGAATCTATAATCATTGGAAAACTCATATTTTTCTCGCTTGAAATTTCTTTCATCGTTGCTAATAGATTACTTTTGACTTTCATAGACGTTTATTTTTTTATTAGACTTAAGATAACATTATATATAATGATGTATTCAATAATATTTCAACATAAAAATATTATATTATGTATTACGAGGGTTCTTATGTGAGTAAGACTTCCAAACCTATTATACTAAAGATCTAACATATGAAATATATCAATGGTAAAATAATTTTCTACATTTTAATTACATATATTCACCTATTATATGTTTTTTCTTAACCTTGAATCTGATATGCGAAGTTATGGAAACAATTGTCACTGGTCAGGTTTTTTTTAGTCAAAAGCTTTGAATCATATAAGAATTTTAAGTTATGCTAATTTGATCAAAGGTTATTTGCAGCAAGAAGAAAGATTGAATTTTGTAAATGGTATTTGCAGCAAGAAGAAATATTGCTTATAAATAGTGTAAATTTTGTAATTAATGTCATTGAAACTGGATGTTACATAGATCTTATGTTAATAGAATTATCAGCCATGTTGTTATCAATGAATCTCAGATTTATGTCACAGAAAGCAAGATCTTTTGAAGACAAACACATGCAGAAAAATCATTAACCAAAGTAGGAACCATGAAGAAAACCATTAAACATGATGAGTATTAACTTAACACAAAACGACAGCAAATCCATTAAAGTAATAAAAACACAAGACTGAATATGAAGAGAGACTAGCATTCAGGAAAATGGCAATCAGTGGCGATCCTTTTAGCATTTGGTGAGTCAAGGAACGATTTGAAATTAGGGTTCTTCATGTACTGGCATACACAGTTGTGTTGCTGATGCAACCTGGCGCAACAAGTACCCGATGGCCTAGAGCCTTTATGTATGGCCTCCTCGCATGGCATAAGCTGCATAGGGTCACATGACTCTCCAGCAACGACTCTGATGTCTCGAGCAACAACAAGAAAAAGAAGGATGGTAAAAGTGAACAACACTGGTTTTGAGCAAGAACCCTTCATTGTCTCCTCTAAGTTGGAGTTCTAAGAGAGAATAAGAAGAAAAGTTCTGGCTTGGAGTTTAGAGTTGGTCACTCTCTCGTTCTATATATATTGGCGATAGCTTTGTGTGAGTCAAGTTACTCAATCGAGAGTTCATAATTACACGAGATCTCGAGATTTATAACACCATCTCTGCCTAAGCTCAAAAAGATTATTAAATTGTTAAAAAAAATGCTTAAACAAAGCGTATAAAGACTAAACATCATTTTGGGAGAAGTGACGAAACCATGTGCACCCCAGCATTTTCATCAGCTTTCTGCTATAACCTCGTGGATGTATAATAAACTTGTTGGACAACTAAATCAAAAATATAAAACCACCTTCTTAAGTATACATAAATTCATTAGAGTAGTGTATAACATAAGCTATTACCACTAAGGAAGTACAAACACATAAGTTCTAGTTATATTCAAAAGCTGGAACTTGAAAGCCAACTTGCACCAAAAAGCTGTTCTATTCCCATTTGCTTCCTCTCCAAAATCTTCGATTAGTGGGATATAATGTAAGTCTGTACCAAACAAAAAAAAATGCTCTGTGTTAGTGGTTTGACATAGTGATTAATCATGCAACAAATAAAGTAAAGATTAGTCTCAGGCGATTTCGAAAACTCACCAATTTAATCACTTTCAGAGTCAGAATAAGACGAGTGATCAGGCTTTAGACCATTAATCTTGACATTGAGACCAGACAAGTCACCATCTTTCAGACCATTAATCTTGACACTGAGACCAGACAAGTCAACATCTTTCAGACCATCAATCTCTATGTCAGAATCAGACGAATCACCATCTCTAATATCAGAATCAGGAGAATCACCATCACTCTCGGCATCTGAATCAGAGGAATCACCATCTCCCTCAGGACCATCACTCTCAACATCTGAATCAGACGAGTCACCATCACCACTCTCGACACTATCATCAACCTTATGCGCGTCGTTAATTGGGTACTTACGCACCTCCTCCATCACCTCATCGTCGCTTTCATCGTGATTCCCCGATAACTTCCTAGTCATCATCGCTTCGAACAAATCAGGCAAAGCATCCTCATCTCCATCATCCAAAAAGCTTTGTATCCTCTTCTTCAGCTCTGTACAAACCAATGTAAGCAAAAAGGGTTTAAGAAACTATAAAACACACAATGTAGGAGCTCACGACATCATAAAACCAGAACTGTCACCTTCTTTAGAAACAACCTCGTTGCTTCCCGAACCACGCGACTCTGAAGAGAAGAAGACGAACCGGGAAGTAACTCGGTTTAGGGAAGGAACAGTAACATGAGGATTAATCGTGGGTGAGTGGAGGAGATTTCGAGTCACTAAGCTGGGGAATCTCTGGAGAAATCGTCTCATGGGATTCGTCGCTTTCGAGACTAGGGTTTAAGATTGTAAAATTAGGATTCAGGGGTTTGAATAAGAGCATGGGGTTTTACTTTAACCGGTCCGACCGGATGTAGACGCCTGAACCGGTTCGTTCTCGTTGTCGTTTTAAAATAGATGGACAAGCCCAACCCGGCCCATATTTGACAGACCTTTCTTTCGCTCAAAAGAGCCGAATCATACACTAAACTATGGGTTACGTTTAGGAAATTAAGATATGGTCATGAACTACAAAATCTGCCAATTAATAGCTGAACACACGCATTTGAAATTTTTTGCTAAAATTCTGTTAGTCAAATCCTCACGTTGTATTAATTTGAATAACCAAACCGGAAATGATAATTAATATCTAGAGCATGTTAGAAGCATGGATTATTGTTGTAGTAGATAATCATGAATTCATGATTAAAAAAGTACTATGGAAAAATGCATGGAAAGCTTTTGAGTATTTTAAAAGCTAGATCAGATCACACAGTGATTATTTCGCCTTCTAGTTTTTTTTTTTAGATACAAACAATTGCCTAAACTTTGTTTAAAGTGGTAGACCATAAATTGGGACACTGCAATGAGATCCTTGATCATCTTTAAGGTTTTTCTTGTAGGTATAGTCAAAGTTTTAGTGTAAAAGGTCAATTTGTTCTGTTTTATGAACCACGAGGGAACCATTGTTATTAATTTTGTTAAGTAGTTACTCTAAACCACGTATTATTCGTATGAAGCTTTCTATTATTTTGATCAGAATGTTAAGTATTAATAAGACATGATAACCGAGGAAACATTATAAGTACAGCGAAGAGGTATGCTGAAAACAATATGAGAACAACGGACGAGGTATACTCCGTCCGTAGAGGGTATACTGATTCAAAGTACGATGAAATAAGAAAGAGACTAGAAAAGCAATAAATAAATAAAATAAAAATTAGGGGTCATTGTGAAAGTTTCTTCTTGCCTTACAATTTCCTCAAGAGAATTTTTAAATCATAATCTTATCTTCTTCTTTGTTTGACTGAGTTAATTCCTTATCATGTAGCCTTCAAATTATTAAAATCGCTCTGTGTTTGGTTCCCAAAACAAACTACAAGTGTTATCTTTTCTTATTTTCTTTGACAGAGCTAATTCATTATCATATAGCCTTCAAAATATTTAAGTCTTTTTTGTTTGGTTCCCAAAACGAACTACGTGTATAATCTTGACACCCCAAGTGATTAGCAGGCGTAATTGCAACCATGATCTAAATATTTCCGTTTAAAAAAATAATGGTATGCGATTCTTCAACTCGTTGACATTGCTTAGTTTACAGAAAAAAAACTCGTTGACATTGCCACCCCTACCAAAACTCAGGTTGGATCTCGTTGACTCTCTCTAGTGAGAAGTTAAAAATAGGCTTTGGTTCCATGATTTTATTTCTCGTACACTCCTCCATTTATATATTTGTACGGAAGCACGTTAAGCGTGTATTATGCTGTAGTCAATACTCGGCAGCATAAATATTATACTCTTTTTAATTATAAATGACGATATGAGCTGTATTAACCTAGTACTAATATATCAAAAATATGTGGTTTTTTTCAGCCAAAAATACAATTGTATATCGGTGGTAAAGCCGGAATACATTTTGAGTAATTAAAATACCAAAGTCAGATAAGTCATGCAGTGCTTGTAGTTTTCATCCAGATATACTACACCAGATTAGCTGAATCGTTTTTATTTAGACAAAATAAGTCATGCAGTGTTTGTAGTATTTTCATTCAGATATATATAATACACCAGATTACATGAATCGTTTTAATTTTTATTAGACGTAATGTAGTTAGCAAAAAATAAAATTTACTAAAGTAAAAATATGAGAAAATTGCACCTTATATACATATGAACTAAGTAAAAATATGAGAAATTCCACAACATTGTAAAACTCAGAAAATGGTTATAAATCTTAACATTTAGACCAAAAAAAAAAACTAAAATTCCCTCTCTCTCCTATTTTTCTTTCTATCTCTCTCTATTCTTTCTCCCAAAAATTAGATTTATTTAGCAAAAAATCCCTAAAATATTGTCTTGAGGACAAATTTAAAAGGTAAGAAATCATAAATAAAAAAAACAGAACACGACAGAAAGAGAACACAACTTGTCTTTTTTCTAAAAAATAAAATAAAAATACTTTAGGATTCGGTCCCCGACGAATCATCGCCTCTTCCTTCCCAAGTCACAGCCATTTTATACTCCATCCACCTAAACAACTGGAGATGAATTAAAAAAAAAAAACTCTAAATCTCTTCATTCGCAGTTTTAGATTTCGAAAGGTCTGACCTTTTTCGTACAAACTTGCGTATATTGGAGGAACCGATCTTGCTATGTCCGTAGCAGACATCAGGTGAGGAACATTGGATTCAGTTTCTGTTTTTTTTTTGGTCTTTCATGCTGTGAATTTATGATATTTATGGTTTATGCTCCTTTATTGTATTGATGATATGATTCCCAAAAAAAAAGTTTTCAACTTTCAATACTCTTTTTTGTGGGTTGAATCAAAGTGTTAGACTTTATTTTCAGTCTCATCCCATATTGATGTATCAATGAATATACTTAAAATTTTCTTTATGCTGCTTAAAAGTCAAAAGCTTTGTTGTTAAACTGATTAGGATGGAGAATGAGCCTGAAGACTTAGCTAGCGACAATGTAGCAGAGATTGATGTGAGTGATGAAGACATTGATGCGGAAGACCTTGAGAGAAGAATGTGGAAGGATCGTGTACGTCTCAAAAGAATCAAAGAACGAACTAAAAGCGGTTCTCAAGCGAAAGAAGCTCCCAAGAAAATCTCTGATCAAGCTCAGAGGAAGAAAATGTCTAGAGCACAAGACGGTATACTCAAGTACATGTTAAAGCTTATGGAAGTCTGCAACGTCCGTGGGTTTGTGTACGGCATCATACCTGAAAAGGGGAAGCCAGTGAGCGGCTCCTCTGACAATATAAGAGCTTGGTGGAAGGAGAAGGTGAAGTTTGACAAGAATGGTCCAGCTGCTATTGGTAAATACGAGGAGGAGTGTTTAGCTTTTGGGAAGTTAGATGGGAATAGAAACTCTAAGTTTGTTCTGCAGGATCTTCAAGATGCTACTTTAGGGTCTTTGTTGTCTTCTTTGATGCAGCATTGTGATCCTCCTCAGAGGAAGTATCCGTTGGAGAGAGGGGTTCCTCCTCCTTGGTGGCCAACGGGGGATGAAGAGTGGTGGGTGAAGCTTGGTTTGGGTAAAAGCCAGAGTCCTCCTTATAGGAAGCCTCATGATCTCAAGAAGATGTGGAAAGTGGGTGTTTTAACGGCTGTGATTAATCATATGTTGCCTGATATTGCGAAGATTAAGAGGTTTGTGCGTCAGTCTAAGTGTTTGCAGGATAAGATGACGGCTAAAGAAAGTGCGATTTGGTTGGCGGTTTTGAACCAAGAGGAGTCTCTTATTGAGCAGATTAGTAGTGATAATGGAAAATCTAATGTAACTGAGATACGGAGGAGAGGTAATAATAAGGCTGAGAGGAGGAAAGCTGTGGTTAATAGTGATAGTGACTATGATGTTGATGGGACAGAGGAGGCTTCAGGTTCAGTAACAGCTACGTCACAGCCAGTAAGAGATCAAGATAAAGGAGAGAAACATCGGAGAAGGAAAAGACCAAGAAGCAGATCAGGAACTGTCAATAGACAAGAGGAAGAACAGAGAAATATTTTGCCTGACATGAATCATGTTGTTGTCCCTATGCCAGAACATAACATGAACGGTACTGATCACCATGAGGAAGGTGGTTTGGAACCAATTATAACCTTAGGAGCAGAGGAGAACGATCTGGAAGTGATGGTTCCTGAGTTTGATAACAACTATACTTATCTTCCACTGGTTGATGGACAAGCGATGATGCCTGTAGACGAAAGACCAATGCTTTACGGACCAAACCCTAACCAAGAGTTGCAGTTTGGGTCAGGTTACAACTTTTATAATCCCTCTGCAGTGTTTGTTCAGAATCAGGAACAAGATCTTATAGAAATGAACGCACAAGCACCGCGTCACAACAACAGGTTTGAGGCCTCAGTAGGTGTACTTGAACCCCATGGTTTACATGAAGAGGGTGTAGCAGGAAGAGATATGCCTCCTCAGTTTCAGAGTGACAGTAACATTCTGTCTCCATTCATCAATGACTTGGCGTTTGATAGTAGCACATTTGACTCTGGGTTTGATTCCTATGGTGCATTTGATGATGACTACTCATGGTTTGTAGGTTAGTTTCTTGACAATTTGGTTACATGGTAAGTGTATGTCACACACCAACAGCATCTTAGTTTATAATCTTTTTGGTATTGTCTTAAATTTTGTTTTTGCAAGTTATGTTGCAGGTTCAAAAGAACATGCCATTGGCTTAGTTTTTTTTTTTTAACTTTTGAATAACTTGCCAGACACTTGCTGTCCGCATTGTAATGTTTGCCAGGGAAAGCAGTGAGATCTTTGACCTTAACCTTAAAATTTATTTGCAAATATGGTCGACAGAAATTTTATTATCCAATGATTTGCAAAAGACTTATTCGTTTCAACTCTTTCGCGCTTTACTTCTAAATTTTTTGTTTTTTATTCTTTTATTTAAATATATAATATTTTTTTAATAAATGACTCTGTGACAATATGACTCTAAATATGATCATATTATATATTATGTTTTTGGTATAAAGTTGAATAAACTGAAAACCGATGGTATATAAACCAAATCAAACTAAAGTACATATAGATTTAGAATAGTAGTTATATTTTAATGATCGAAATACCAAAAAAACGAGGCGAACCGAAACCCGATATCCGGATTGAACACCTCTAATCCGAATGAAACCGAACTATTGTTTCATTTTTAAAAACATAATAAAAATAATAGTTTCATTCCGGGCAAGGCGCAGGTCTTATCCTAGGATAAAACCCGCGCCTTGCGCGGGATGAAGCTATTATTTTTATTATGTTTTTAAAAATGAAACAATAGTTCGGTTTCATTCGGATTAGAGGTGTTCAATCCGGATATCGGGTTTCGGTTCGGCTCGATTTTTTGGTATTTCAATCATTAAAATATAACTACTATTCTAAATCTATATGTACTTCAGTTTGATTTGGTTTATATACCATCGGTTTTCAGTTTATTCAATTTTATACCGAAAAACATAATTATTTAGTTTGAGATCATATTATATATTATACAAATATATAATACGATCATATTTAGAGTCATATTGTCACAGAGTCATTTATTAAAAAAATATTATATATTTAAATAAAAGAATAAAAAACCAAAAAGGCTTCTATCATCTAATAAAATGATCAAATCTAGAATTAATATCAAAACACTAAATTTTGAAAATAAAAATAAAAAACAAAACAGAAGCATGAAAGAAAAGTTTTTATATTCTTCCATATTTAGTGTTCATCAAACCAATATGTCTTCTACTGAACACAACTCTGTTTGTTTAAAGATAAAAAAATTTGAAAAGAATTTCAACTAATTGTTGTCCATCAAATTTACAATCTTTACTTCAATTTAGTTACTGTTAAAAAAACAAAACATCAAAATAAAAAGTCTTAGTTGTAATAAATTGTTAGCTATTTACAAATTATAATTATAGTTCAACTCATGTAACAAATAGATATTCATGCGTTGTTATAAATATATACATATTTACATGTTTCAGTTTAATCGATTATAAATCAAACCATATA